ATGTTCTACTTCATCACTCACTGACAGTGTAGATTTGGGGTCGCCACTAAAACCAAAATTCGAGGCCACTGGGAGAATCAGTCCAGCATGTGCTGGAGCACATGATAGACCCGGTGTGCCCTTATCTATCTGGTTTCCTGTTCCTGCTTTGACCTCTGGGGCGTTGTCTTATTTCTTACCAATTCAGCCATTTATTACAAAATCTTCAGTTTATATCCAGGAGTTTTAAGTGTTCTATAGCGTCGTGTGTTTTTCCGATAACTAGTCGATGGCTTTAGTGGAACGAGGCCTTTCTTATTTTTAATATCTTTAAAAGTACGTAGCTTTTAATGAAAGTCTTTCTTAATTTAATATTTTGACATTTGTTTAAACTTTAAACTTACACAACCTGGACATCCACCCTTCTTCTCCTTCTTCAAATGCAATCCCTTAACCCCAATTCCTCTAAGGTACCTGCATTCAGATCATTTCCACTAGAAAAGAGTAGGAAAGCAAGACAATGTCTGAAGGTCAGGACCCAAACTCATTGAAAATCCAGGTAAGTATTTTGTTTGATAATGAAAATCTGGCTTCACCTTCAGCTATTCTTTGGGTTAAGATTCCAAAATAGTTTACAAAGTAGCGAAACCTAAGTCCGACAGAACACGGTATCTCACATGTTTGAGGTGATGAGTGTGAACTGAACATGCTCATCTGAGCTATCTACGCTGGCAAATATTCCATGATTTCAACACATCTGAAAAATTTCAGGTTTGGTGTCTGGGAGGCTGCCCAATACCTGAACGAATCCCCATTTCATGCACTTAAAATAATAGCATCGCTGTTCTCCTTTTTGTGAGATAATCTTTCTGTTTAGAGTGCCCCTTCCCTTATTCAGCCCTTTGGGGTTAAAACTAAAAATCCATTTTCATGACTCTAATTTTTATTTAATTTAAGGCAGACGAAAGTACCAGTTATCCTAGCCAGATAATCTAATGGAGTGCGTAATCAGGGTCCATCTGGTCCCAGAGTGGCTGAGTGCAGTGGCTTCCTGACAAGAGAGCTGGTGAGGCTCATTTTGCATTTCTCAGTGAGGACGGGGGAGACAGAGCAGGGCGGCAGCTGTGGTTTCTATGACATTGAGGGATCACTTTACACCAATGCCCTTTCCTTTTTCTTTTCCATGTGTACTTCCCCCCACTTGCTGGTGATAGGGTTCAGGACAATTTACCCCCAAATATGGCACTTTGGCACAGTGAATATTTTTTAACTGAAAGAATCTGAGATATAGCAGGTGCAGGAAGGACTTTCTGACCGTCCCTTGGAGCAGGTCATAAGACCCTAGTGTCTATATTCGGAGGAAAGGAACATCCTTATCTCCGAAGATAAAGGGACACGGAAAGAAATCTGAATGAACAGGCTGTGTGAAGCTTCCCCAGCTTACTATTCTTAGCTCGTAACCTTCTTGTCCTATCGTATTTTCCCCCCCAACTGTCTACTCTTTATCAAATCTAGCATAAAAACACGCAAGCTTAACTATTTCTTTGTGTCTTCACTTCCTCATGAAGGCTCCCGCGTTACATAAAACTTATAATCAAACACAGTTGCGTACTTTTGTTAGTCTTTGTTACAGAGACCCAGCTGACAACCAAGTAGGGTAGGAAGAAGCAATATTTCTCCCCCCTTATGACATCAGGCATTGCTCTTCATAGCTTAAGCCTCAAGACTATCCAGGGAGAAGGAGGGTAATGAGATTCATGAATGGGAGTTGAATGAATGGCATATCCCACAATCAACATGAAATTTCTGGTTACCAATGTGTTACTCATTCCAAGGGGTATCTCTGCAACTTGGAGGGGGGAGCGGGGTCTGGGGGTGGGAGGTATGGAGGGCTATAGTAACGGGTAACCAACCTGGAAATAGTTGGGTGTCTTGGCGTGAAACTTGTGAGGTGTTATCACCCCTTTCACCCGACAAAAAGAGTACTTTTTAAAAAATCGGCCTTTTTGGAGTTGTGTGTTACTCACCCATTCCCTCCAAAAGTCCCTCATAACTTTAGACTTAATGGATTTCACTTATTTTTTTTGTTAAAAACGAAACTTCCCCAGAAAATTATTTTATATCATCAGTATACCGCAGTATTATCTTATGCCTCTAGTAAAGACACACTTTAAAGTTACCACTTCTTGGGGCGCCTGGGTGGCGCAGTTGGTTAAGCGTCCGACTTCAGCCAGGTCACGATCTCGCGGTCCGTGAGTTCGAGCCCCGCGTCAGGCTCTGGGCTGATGGCTCAGAGCCTGGAGCCTGTTTCCGATTCTGTGTCTCCCTCTCTCTCTGCCCCTCCCCCGTTCATGCTCTGTCTCTCTCTGTCCCAAAAATAAATAAAAAACGTTGAAAAAAAAATTAAAAAAGTTACCACTTCTTACACAACTAGCTCAATTACTCCTTAGCTTTTTCTAGATGAGGTAAAAAGATGCTTTTAACTTTTCTCATGGGCCTTTTCCCCTTAGCCTTTTGGTAATATTCAAAGATGTACATGGAACCTCTTTTCAAGATCTCCATGGTCCTTTTAAGTCTAGAAAGTTATAAAGAGCTTATTCTGTGAGAACAGTTTGAGAAATAATGCAAAAATGGGGGCCTTAGTTCAGGATGTCTCAACACAGACTTCTCTCGGCTGAATCTCTAAGTCATACGAAAATGCTGACTTAGGTTGTATTTTCTATTTTTTAGGTTCCAATCTTTTAAAATGGCACTTGAAATTAGAGTAGGAAGCTCATGGGCTATCGTAAGTGCATACTCAATGACAAATAGGCATTGAGGATTGAGATTTGGGAGTTATTAATCAATATACCTGTATATTCTTGGCTCTCCAAAGTTTAATTCAAGCATATTCAATCAGATTCTTACCCAAAATCAATTTTTAAGAAGGCTGCTTTTCAAAACCAGGGATCTGCAATGAGACTTCTTTTGTCTGGGGAATATTTTATAGAAATAGGATTTGTCTTCTGTTATGCCTTTGGACTATATATTTTTTGCTTACCCGGCTCTGGCATCCAGGTAAACTAGTCCTTTAGTCAGGAGTTGAGTTTTACATTAAGTAACTTACACGAAAGAACCTTTATGAAAATTGTGCTAGCATTGAGGATATCGGCAGAGACTACAAAAGAAGATAGATAGAAATATAATGAAAGATTTTATAAGGAGTGCCCCGAATCTAGATTCCCCTTTGTTGCGAAGATAAAACCATTTGGAAATCTTGAATTATCAGGGGAAACAAAGGTGGAGCTTGACTTTTACTGCCAAATTTAATTTTCACTCCCAGCTCTTGATGTTTTCGAGAACTCCTCAGAAAGGTCAAAACGTATTGATTTTCCCACAAAGCAGTCGTTTAAATCAGATTACACAAAATAGTGGCAGAGAGGAGGACAGGCAGATGGATGGGCAATTTTCTTCTCAAGTTCTATTTTGCCTCCTTCTGTTCTAGGAATTCATTAATTTCAGATTAAGACACAATGGATTTGTAGAAAAATGAAGGAAATATCTGGAGGTGTGATGTATGAAGAAGTCCTTAGAAACAATAAGTGCATCCTAACAGTGTTGACTAACGTGAATTAGTCAATTCTTTTTTTCTATTAAGAAAAGAGAGGAACGCATCCATGTATTGAGTACACTACCGGCCAGGAATGGTGTATTTTACAGGTGGGCATCTAATCTAAGATCTCATAAAGTAGATTTTATATTTTCTATGTTACAGAAAACTGAGATTAAAACAAAACTACATCTCCGGGGTAAGGATAAAGAACTGGGTGGCAGGTGCAGCGAAAACAAGATTGGCCATAAAATGATAATTGCTAAATTTGGGCGATGGGTGCCTGAGACATCATGACGCTATTCTATTTTTAAAATGTATTTGAAATTTTCCCAAATAAAAAGTTCTTAAGAAATCACTAATGAACATCAAGGTTCAAATCCACTCTTGGTTGTTTTCAAGCTTGCGCTCTCTCGATCACATCACCTACCTAGTAATTTCTAAAAAGCTGGACAGCAAATTTCAAGCTGGGTAATAAACCAGGAATTTAAATTTTATGTTAGAAACTAGCAATTGCTTGTTTTATGTTCTCAAAAAGAATGGAGTCTGAATCAATCTTAGTGTTGTATTTATTCAATGAAGATGTCTTTCTTTCTATTGAACTAGTGTGAGATTAAAATAAACCTCTTTTTAAAAAAAATTTTTTTTAAGTTTATTTTTGAGACAGAGAGAGAGACAGAGCATGAACGGGGGGAAGGTCCGAGAGAGAGGGAGACACAGAATCTGAAACAGGCTCCAGGCTCTGAGCTGTCAGCACAGAGCCCGACACGGGGCTAGAACTCACGGACCGCGAGATCATGACCTGAGCTGAAGTCGGACGCTTAACCGACTGAGCCACCCAGGCTCCCCTAAAATAAACGTCTTAAATGTCCCGGTGTCAATTGTGTTTCCTGAAATGACTTCTTTTTCTCTTTTTCTTTTTAAAGAAGACATTTCAATATTCTAAACATTTGCATTAGATATGTAGAGACATGTAAGATCAACCATGAGATCCATGAACCATGAGATCATGACCTGGGCTGAGATCGAGAGTCAGACACTCAACTGACTGAGCCACCCAGGTGCCCCATTTATATGACTTTCTGAAATGACAAACCTATGGGGATAGAAAAGTGATGAGTGGGTTTCTGGGGGTGCTGTGGAGAGAGGCGACTGACTGCAGAGGGACATGGGCAAATTTTCTCGGTGAAGGCACTCTTCTTTATTTTCATGTGGTGGTGGCTACATAGCTGTGTTTTTGCCTCAATTAATAGAACTGTATATACATTTATTTATGTGTCAATTTATTGTATGAAAATAACATCTCAGAAAGTCTGATTACTATGTATGATAATATAAATATGTGTGTGTGTGTGTGTGTGTGTGTGTGTGTGTGTGTATAGTTTTCAAAGTATGCCTCTGTGTCAGTGAGAGCACAGAATCATGCACTTACCTGTATGCTGACCGGAAGCCCCATTCCCTGGTTGTCAACCACAGCTATAGTCATGACAGTCTGGATCACCAAGGCAACGAAGGTGTTGATTCCAAATATCAGGGCATAGCGTTCCACGCTGAGGTTAACAGCAATCTGAAATCTAACATTGTACAAATGGAAAGAGCTTTGAAAGCATACATATGTGGGCTTTTAAATACAGAGCAAGGAATCGTGTTGTTCCCAAGACTTGACTCCCCTCAGGAAGCCCAGGCTTCTGTTGACAGTTTCTTGCTAAAAGCTCTTCTAGCAGAGAAAAAGGAGTGAAGGGTAAATGAAATAGTGAAGTGTTGTATTTTCACATTCCATGCGATGTGATGTATTTTAAGAATTTAAAATCAATGAACCTTTTCTAAAATTGAACCAAATATTCCAAATGTTCTGCAACGAGGGAGCACTGAACATCACTGGATGTGGCTATGGTTTATCAGTCACTTTTTAACTTAGACGTATCAATGAGTTAATCACAAGCCCCTTTGATGAGTTTTTATTTATTTGGAGATTGTTCACTGGATCACTGACTGTCTACGTTAGCAGTTTCAGAGTCTAATAGGGGAATTTTTCTCTGGAAAACTCACAAATTATTTTCTTTCACAGTTGATTCAATCTGGCATCAGTTCATTTTAAATAATTTATTGGGTTTTTAATGTTAGCCAGGCAAGACGGACATGTATGCATTAGAATTGTTCCACCTAATTTAGCTAAGACATTTATAACCTGAATCTATTTAAAAATATGAAAACAAATGGAAAGTTTTAACTATTTTCACACCCCCTCCCCAAATCCACACAGCAAAAAACAATCCAAGCATTTAAAAATTATGTGATTCAATGAAAATGTATTATTTCAGTGCAAAAACTTACCAGTTAAACATAGCAAAGCCCATAAATAATCCTAGATCCCACAAAGTGAATATAACGGGTGGTCCAAATAGGCTTTATATAATTTCGGGATTTTCTTGCTCAGCTAACAATTGTTCCTTTGGAAAGAAATGTTACAGGAGACAGATGCTTTTGAAACCTAGATTAAGCCAAATGGCAGATTCCCTTTTAGTGTGCAAATTATTCCAGGTTGGAATCTTGATTTAATATTTACAGATGCTTCAACAGCTTATCAGTGATTACTTGGTTTGGGACAAGACCTTTACGTGTGGTGGATTCAGATGGAGACATAATACTGACATCAGGCTGACCGTGGCATTGAATCCTAAGATTTTTTTCAGTCTAAACCCCAAAACTACCTGAAATTCTGACTAAAATCTTTTGTTTTTTAAATTTTTAAACATTATTTATTTTTGAGAGACAGAGCATGAGCAGGAGAGGGGCAGAGAGAGAGGGAGACACAGAATCTGAAGCAGGCTCCAGGCTCTGAGCTGTCAGCACAGAGCCCAGTAGGGGGCTCAAAACCGTGAATGGTGAGATCACGACCTGAGCCAAAGTCAGACACTTGACCAACTGAGCCACCCAGGCACCCCCTGATTAAAATCTTATTTCAAAGCTCCTACTGGATTATTTCTATGTAGGAGGCAGAAAGCAACCACTGCCCAGGGCTGGTAAGTTCTTGGAAAGAGAATTGTATCATGTTCATCCGTGAGGCATTTAGCACTAAACACAGATGAACCTCTGAGACAGTCTATAATTTTATAAGATAGTACCACTTTGAAATTTTATTTGATCATTTATGTTCCACATATTGTGAAAATATAGGATTGGCACTTATCAATTTACCTTATAACTTAAAGGAAAGTAATAGCAACGTTTTCTAAAGCATTAAAAAAAAAATTCATTGGTGTGCTGGGATGGCTCAGTCGGTTAAGAATCTGACTCCTGATTTCGGCTCAGGTCCTGATCTCACATTTCATGAGATCAAGCCCCACATTGGGTTCTGTGCTGACAGCATGGAGCCTGCTTGGGATTCTCTCTCTCCCTCTTTTTGCCCCTCCCTCCCTCATGATTTTTCTCAAAAATAAATCAATGAACTTTAAAAGCACATTACTTTGTGCCTATAAAAAATAGAATGGTTAAATTAAAAAAAATCAATAGCCCAAAGTTTTTTTTTAATATTGTATTATTGTATTCACTTTTTTTTTTCCCAAGAAGTGCTAACCAAATGCTTATTATGAAGCAAAAACTAGGGTAAAACACCAAGGTATACAATGAACAAACTTGATTCTATCCTCACAGAGCTTATACTCCAACAGGGAATATTTAACTGTTACCAGATAACTGCTTTGACTAATATTTAATTAAATTTATCAGTTTTTATCATGAAAAAGATATAGGTAGTAAATATCTTTTTGTAGAAAAATCAAATTATTTTTAATGAACTTCTTGTATCACGTGATGGTTGAAACCATGGCTGGTCAATTATCTTAGAATTCCTCCCAAATCTGAACACTAACCCTTTGTACTAGAGATACATGTATCCAACACTTGCCAAATTTATTTGAAAATTTTCTTAGAAGCTGGAGAAGTAATAAGATATAAATGGAGTTAGAGTGATTGGATCCACCTACAGAGAAAATGATATTCAATCAGTATTCTGAAGGTGGACATGTGTGTGATAATTTCATTCAGCACCAAATTTGACAGATCTATGAAGTTAAGTTCTCTTCTTTTCCCCACGGCAAGTGTGTATCCTGACATTAAGATACTATCTGTTGAGCGCTGTTCAGTAATTAGATAATGTAAATAATGTAGCCAAAGTTAATTATGTCTAAAATAATTCTTCACTAAACCTAACAGTCACCTGGCTGAATGGACAAATTAGATGATCACTGAGTTTTATGTAGAATGCTCTGAACATACCGTCTGGGAAAACCCTGATGGTCAGTGTATGAGTTCCATCGTCACGGGCTCCCAGAATCGCAGCATTCTTACTATTCGTGTGACTTACCCCTCTACTTCTGTATGTCTATAATAAATCATTCTGAGAATTTATCAATACACCAAAACATCTGGGTTGTGTTTTTTTCCAAAACCATCTCATATTCTGACGGTTAATCTAGCTTTTTTTCCCTTCAATTTTTCTTATTTGTTTCTTTAGTAGAACAATATTGACTTGCTTCATGGTATGCAGTAGAAATGCAGATAGCTGTGAACCAATCTGTTCTGAAACATTCAAGAATAATACTTTTATCTTTTCATTGTGTAGAAGCTGTGGCCAGGGACAGTACAAATAACTCTGAAAAAATATTGTTGCTAACTTTCAGGTTCTCCATTTTCCTACATATAGCCATTGAGCATTAAACCAAACGGATTTAGGTTTGGCTTGAGTTCTTTTTCCTAATCAAGAGTTAGATTTTGAAGACAAAACAAACAAACAAACAGCAAAACAACACAAAACAATTCCAAATATTTTCTAGAACAAAAGTGGGGGAAGACAGAGATCTCGTTAGGATGTTGAAGGTCAGAAAAGACTGAAATAACAATAAGAAAGTAACGGGGTAAGCCAAAAATCATGCTATCCCATTAAGAAAACATAAGTATAGTCAAACTTCTGAAAACCAAATAAAAACAGAAACTCTTAGAAGCAGGCTAGAGCAAAATTACCATCACATTTAGGGGAACAGCAATGAGAATGACAACTAACTCCTTAATGTAAGCTGAAAGACAATGGAAGGGTAAATCTTGAACACGCTGAACGGAAAAACAAAACAAAATATAACAAGACACTATCAACTAAGAATTCTGATCAGCAGAACTGTACTTAGAAATGACAGTAAACTTCATTTTTATTTATTTATTTTTTTTAAACGTTTATTTATTTTTGGGACAGAGAGAGACAGAGCATGAACGGGGGAGGGGCAGAGAGAGAGGGAGACACAGAATCGGAAACAGGCTCCAGGCTCTGAGCCATCAGCCCAGAGCCCGACGCGGGGCTCGAACTCCCGGACCGCGAGATCGTGACCTGGCTGAAGTCGGCCGCTTAACCGACTGCGCCACCCAGGCGCCCCTAAACTTCATTTTTAAATGCATAAAATTTGAGAGTAATTGTCACCAGGAGGTTTGTACTACAAGAAGTGTTAAAGGAAGTTTTCAGGCTGAAGGGAATCAAGAGCAGATGGAAACTTGGATATAGAAAGAAATGAAAAGTACTGAGAAAGGTAAATCTATGAGCAAACATAAGAGATTATTTTTTCCTGTCTTCATTTTGAAAAGATAACTTTCGGTTTATAGCAAATGGAGTAATAACGTATTGTAGGGTTTATAACAGTTACTGAAGTACAATCTGTGAAACAGTACAAGGGACAGGGAGTAAATGGAATTATGTTGCTCTAAAGTATTTATACAAGAAGTGGTACAACATTAATTTAAGGAAAACTGACGAGTTAAGAAACCTAATCCCACTAAAGACATAAAGACTTAGCCAAGAAAAACCAATACAGGAAATAAAATGGAATTAATACGAAAGCTCAATTGACTTCAAAAAAAGAATAAAGAAAAAAACAGAACAAAACAAAAAAACAAAAAAACAAAAAAAGAATAAAGACAAATGAACAGGTGGGACAAATACTAAACAAATAACAAACTGGTAGACTTAAACCTAAACATGTTACATGGAGTTCATGGGTGAGCTCCTTGAACGTGTAAATTCACATTTTAAATTAATATTTATGGTTTCTTGGATATGTAAAGTAATGCTTTTCATCAAATTTGGGAACTTTTTGGCCATTATGTCTTTACATGTTTTTTTTCTCCCTCTTTGTGTTCTCTTCTTCTGGAACTACATAATGCATATATTGATTCACTTCATGATGTTCCACATGCCTCTAAAAAAGTCTAAGGCCAAACAGCACATCCAAGATTATGCAGCTGATAATGTTAGGTCAAGGAAACTATTTCAGCTGCTTGCTTTATCACTGCTCAACTTCCTAACTAAAATGAAACACATTGCCACATAGGAAAGGAGGAGCTATACCTACCTAATCCTTTAGGCAACACTCATCACCTCTTCAGCTCATTTTCTTTCCTTTTTCATTAATCTAGATAAAATATTTCCTATGTTTAAACCACTGTGTCATTTAACATTTATTACATTCATATGTGGTTTTATAGAACAGCTTTGCCTTTACAACTGCTCTGAGGCTATTCGATGAGTTGTTTCCAAAAGAAATCGATGTGCCATGATTGTTCAAGCAGGTAGGGAAAATTGGGAGTGCAAACTAACTTAGTCAAAATTCAATACAATCACATATCATTAAATGATGCTGCTAAAAAACCAAAATCAAAGTTCAGAAACTGGAACACTGGTACACTGTTGGTGGGAATACAAAATAGTGCAGTCACTATGGAAAATAGTGCGGAGGTTCCTCAACAAGTTAAAAATAGAACTACCCTACAATCCAGAAGCTCCCACTTGGGAGTATTTATCCAGAAGCATCGAAATCAGGATCTAGAAGAGATATGAACACTCCCATGTTTGTTACAGTGCTATTCTCAATAGCCAAGACGTGAATAAGGATAATGTGGTATATACACACACATGACTACTATTTGCCCTTAAAAAGAAGGAAATTCTGGGGCGCCTGGGTGGCGCAGTCGGTTAAGCGTCCGACTTCAGCAGGTCATGATCTCGCGGTCCGTGAGTTCGAGCCCCACGTCGGGCTCTGGGCTGATGGCTCAGAGCCTGGAGCCTGCTTCCGATTCTGTGTCTCCCTCTCTCTCTGCCCCTCCCCCGTTCATGCTCTGTCTCTCTCTGTCTCAAAAATAAATAAAAAACGTTATAAAAAAAAATTAAAAAAAAAAAAGAAGGAAATTCTGCAATCTGGGACAACATGGATGAAACCTGGAAACATTCCATTACATAAAATGTGTCAGTCATAGAAGGGCAGATGTTGCACGATTCCATTTATATGAGGTGTCTAAAGCAATCAGATTCAAAGAAGCGAAGAATAGAAAGAATGGTGGTTTCCAGGGGCTGGGTGGAGGGGACAATGAAGAGTTGCTACTTCATGTGTATAAATACCGATCTTTCAGTAATGCAACGTAAAAAAAATTTCTAGCGGTCTGATGAACAACATTGTGCCTATAGACAGCAATACTGTAGTGTGCACTTAAAAGTCTGCTAAGAGGCGTAGATCTCATGTTGTGTTTTTACTAAAATAAAAAAAAAAAGGGGACTACAAAATAAACAAATCAATAAAATTATTCCATTAAGTAAATAAAATATAAAAAAAGATAAAAAACCAAAATGTAAGGGCATATCACTGTTTATTACTTGTGAGGACTTTGAATTTTCTTTGCCTGATTAATAACTTTAACCAAGTCCCAAGAGAGAGCTGGTTAAAATAAGAATATAGTGGTATTGTCTCTTATTTTTTTTTAAGTTTATGTATTTATTTTGAGAGAGAGAGACAGAGAACGAGAGAGAGAAAAAGAGGAGCAGAGAAAGAGGGAGATAGAGAATCCCATGCAGGCCCCAGGCTATCAGCATGGAGCCCGACACAGGGCTTAAATTCAAAAACAGTGAGATCATGACCTGAGCTGAAACCAAGAGTCCAAAGCTTAACTGACTAAGCCACCCAGGTGCTTCCCCCCCGCCCCCCCCGTTGTTGCTTACATTTAGCATTAAACATAACATTGCAAATGCCATCCAGAAGAACTGGAAGAATAAACATATTTTGTTGCTTAAGATTTCGATAAAGAAAGAAATGACAAATACTTACGCTGCTACCGTTATGAGAAGCATGTAACTTGACTTGAATATCAAAAAACCGGCATAGCACACCCAAATATTAGTTGTGTAATGCATGAGAAGCAGAGAACCTGCATCTGCCGCTGAGAAGATGGCCAGAGCCAGCTCTCCCAGGAGGTTCCAATGGACTTTCACACAGCCCGCTGTGAAGGCTGCCAGAGCCCCTGGAAAGAAAGGAATCAACGTATATTACATCTTGTCATTCCGTGCATAACAAAGTAGCGTGCCGCTTTGTTAAAATTCACATTGGATAGAAATTGGAGCATTTCCAGTCTTTGGTAAAAAAAAAAAAAAAAAAAAAAAGACTTATCGTGAACATCGATTGAGTGAAAATCACTTGATCTGGCTTTGTGAAGTGTACATAACTTTTCCTCTTAAAGTTTGAAATAGATCAACTGAATCTGGGTGTCCATAAATCACACACTGGAATGGACCCGTAGAGCCCATTTTTTCCTTTCTTCTTCCCTTTGCAGAGGATAAAACTCAGGCTCAGAAATCTGGTGTCAAACAAAAACAAATTCAGACTTTGATAGGGAGAGGCTTTATTTAGAAGAAAGGCTTGTAATAGAACACTCTGATTGCCAAAATCTGCAAGCATCTTGAAATCAAACAGAAAAAGGATTTTCTTTTATAGGGTAATCCTTCCCTATAGGGCAAGCAGACATAAGCAGGGTCTTTGAAGGGGAAGCTGGACAAGCAAGGGGAAATGATCAGGGGAGTCTGATAGGAAAGTGTCCCGCTGTGGTCAGCTAATTTTCAGGAGAAACTGATGGGGGCTGGGGCACATTCCGTATTGTGTCGTGTTTACTCAGAGTTGGAGAAGGCAGAATGTCCAGGGATCTGTAGTAAGGAGAGGAGTCTGACTAAAGTTCAGTCAAGACGAAGCAGACTGTATGGAATGGTAAATTGGGAATACTTGGTGACCTAGTGAGACGCCAAGTTTTTCAAGCTGAATGCCAGCTCTTGTTTCCATGTCTTTCTCTGTGCCACGTTACGGCTACTCTAGCAAGGAGAGACTCGCTCTCAGTGTCCCTGTCTCTGTTTTCTTGATCTTCTCTATAACACTGATTTAAAAATTTCCTCAAATTCCAGACAGGTACCAAACTTCTTTTAAAGAATTCTCTCTATACACTTTCCCACCATTTGTTGGTTTGATCATTCCCCTTTATACTTGTTCACACATTCATTCACCTACTCAGCCATCAAACGTTTTGGAGCTTCTCTGTGGAAAAATGTGGTAAATGTTGGATCCTTGCTCTTGAAAATAGTATAGCCTACTGGAGAAATTGGATCTACCAATTTATAGCGTTAATAAGAGTGCCATAAGGATTGTAAAAACACTGATTCTAACTCAAATTTAAACAAGCCATAACCCAGTGGTTCTCACATGGGTCTTTTGCCCTTCAGGGGACAGATGGCAATATTTGAAGATAGTTTTGGTTTTCATGACTTGGCAGGGGTGGTGGTGGTGGTGGTGGTATGCTAACAGGATCTAGTGGGTTAAGACCAGTGATGCTGTGGAACATCTTACAATGCACAGGACAGCACCCCCCCCCCCCCAAGACAAAGAATTTCCCCAACCGAAATGTCAGTGTTGTTGAGGATGAGAAACTTTGACCCAAGCCCAACATGTAGTCCCTAGACATATCCTTAGGACAAATCGATACAATGTGCATTATATACACGTTCTTATAATGTGTTCCTATAACGTGCTGTGAACAAAGTAACCATTTGTCAGGTTTCTTACTACCCTTAGCTTTCTTTCTTAAAGACATGGCTTAGTTTACATGAGGTCTTAAGTCAGCAAACCACTCCTTTTTCTCCTGGTTTTACCTAAAAATTTGACACTAATTAGGATCCTCGCTATCACAAAGAGACTAAAGAACAGCTGTGTTTAGGGGGCTTTTAAAGAATAAACTTTATGAACACTTTACCTTTTCTACACATTATCTGAAGAGAAGAGGATTTTTTTTTTTTCTCCCTTTTCTCCAGGAGCAAGTCCTTAGAGAGGAAATGGGTTTAAGGTAAACAAATACAAGACCAGGTTTCTAGGAGCCAAAATGGAATTTTTAGAAAGGGAAATGAGAAGACTCTTACCTCAACAATGGACCCTGAAATGTTCAATAAATATGTGGGTGTGGAACACCCCAACTTCAAAAATAATATCTTCAAAGTCTTATTTGATGTGAAAGCTTTGTTATGTCAGGAAAATCCATGTGCGTTGTTGGGCTCACTTCAAAGACAGCTCTGACCTCTACCCTTCTGACTTTAGACCATTAACTCTTGTGTCAGCCCACCTTCCCTCACTCTTTTCACCTCACTCCCTTTGGAAAAGTATTTCAAACTGCACAAAATAGGTTCTGGGAAAAAGGAAGAGTCCGTGGACAAGAATCTAAAATTCCCCCAAAACTGCTGTAGCTTCTCAGCCAGGAGGGAGATTTTCCAAAAGAAGGAAGCCCAGGACAGGGTTGAAGGGTGAATCTAGTGGTACAAGTTGGAAACACTCAATCCCCCAGAGACCTTCTCAAGGTCATTCAGTCTTGCTGCCTCTTTTTTGGTGGACAAAATGCAGTATCGGAAATCCATCTATGGGTGAATAAGGTTGAAGCAGACACTTGCCAGTCAGCTCAAGGAGAAGCAGTAAATACTCAGAAACACACATATTCTCTTGGAGGGCCCGCCTCTGCCACCTTGCCATTTTCTCCATAATCAAAGATTACTATTGGGGTGCCTGAGTGGCTCAGTCGGTTAAGCGTCCGACTTTGGCTCAGGTCATGATCTCACAGTCTGTGAGTTCGAGCCCCGCGTCGGGCTCTGTGCTGACAGCTAGGAGCCTGGAGCCTGCTTTGGATTCTGTGTCTCCCTCTCTCTCTGTCCCTCCCTCGCTCATGCTCTAACTCTCTCTCTCTCAAGAATAAATAAAACATTAAAAAAAAAAAAAGATCACTATTTGTTAAGGGCTATTGTGGAGGGACACACTTCTTATTGGCTCTTACTAAACATTTGAATGAAAGTATAATACATATGAAGGGCCAGAGAGAAAATTATACAATACAATAACCTGGCTGCGGAGAAGAGATAGGGTAGAAGATTGTAAGAATCCAGGCTGGATTCACTATTATTCTAGAAAATATTTGGATATGGTAGGTAATGGGGAAGCTGAGTATGGAAAATAATCTTAATCAGAAGACAACAAGCTTTGGCAAATTCCCACGTGTAGAATGAAGGAAAGATCTAAATATATTATTTAAGTTGTCTTGATGGGAACCTTTGAAATGGTAAAGTAGCTCTTAGAACAGTAGCTTTCAAACTTCTTTGACCATAGCCTGAAAAGGAAATATATTTCATATGTCCACTGGTACATTTATATGTGAGCGTAAACAGAATTTTCATAAAATGAAACTTATAAGCTGCTATGCTCCCTATTCTCTATTCTTTCTATTCTATTCTATTCTATTCTATTCTATTCTATTCTATTCTATTCCATTCCATTCCGTTCCGTTCCATTCTAAATTTTCTATTCTGTTCTTTGATTTAAAAATGCTGGTTAGAAATCCACTCCATTAGTCTCAAGATCTATAAAGGCCCAAATAGTAAATATTTTAGGCTTGTGGGCCACATAGCCTCCTTTGTTTTTATTTGGTTGCTTGCTTGGATTTATTACTTTTACAACCCTTGTCATATATTGTTTTTTTTCCCCTTACAACTTCCTCTTAAAAATGTAAAAAGTATTATCTCTGGTGGGCCATGGGCCATCGTTTGCCCACTTCTATTAATGGTTTGCAAACCATAGTTTAAAGGCTAGTGTTACAGAGTGGTTAGAGAGGAAAGTGATTTGGTAGTTTTACCTTAAACTGTCCAACTCTTTATGGCCAGTGGGACACAAATTCGCAGTCCCTATTTTTAGGGGTGGATTACACTATTTCCATGGATAATTTTGTCAATCTTCCCTTAAATTCATTGCCTTTTTAAAATTTGGTGACCAAAGCTCTTTTCAGTTTCGAAATATTTGGTATTCATTGTTGACATCTCTACAACCAATCTCTCCGAGACTATGATTTGAAAGAATATATTTCCGCCACACTGAAAAGAGAAAGTCTGGTGGACCTACCTCCAAACGTTGCAAGGGCTTCTACTGCTCCATTATAGGTTGCAGAGCTCTGGGATGGTGCCTTGTAATCCCACAGGATTTGAACATAGTTCAAAACCTGGTTAAAACCTGCTGTGGAAAAAGCCCACCACAGGGACCAGTAAAAAAGATGCTTTGAGGAGTAGCAACCCTTCAAATCTTGGAACCACTGCACAAAAACTCTCAGCGTTACATTTCCCGGCTTTGGATCATTCAGCGGCTCGTCGTCACCCAGGTTCCCTGAAAAGGTGACTAATCCTTTGCAGACTGGTTTGCGGTCCTTTTGTGGTTCCTTTGAGAAAGCATCCTTTCCCGGTGGCTTGGGAGGAGCTCCTTTGCCGGGTTGTACATGAAAAAACATGCTCTTCTCAGGCATTGGTAGGAACAGGGAGAAAAGAAGGGCCACACAGACAGAGGCCAAGGATATGACGTTGAGGTGGAAGTACGATAGGCTGGCCAGGGATACCAGGAGCTGGGCCAGCACCGAGGCCACCGTGTAGGCCACCAGGGTGATGCTCCTGCAGTAGCCGCTCACTTTCTGGTAGTGCTCTGGGCTGACCACGCTGTAAATGTAGGCATAGTAGGCCACCTCGGAGGCGGAGACCATCCCATAGAAGAACTCTAGCACCTGCATGGCTCTCAGTCCTTGACCAAACACAAGCAGCAGCCAGGTGACGACGAAGCTGATCCCCTGCAGGATAATGACTGGCTTGTAGCGGACGTAGTCGGTGACGATGAACACTGGGAACAGCAGTGCCAGGTAAGAGTATGTCCAGATGGGAAAGACCTCTTTTGTGATCTGTGAGGTTAAACGGGGAGGGTGTGAGGACACAAGCACGAGGAAGCGGAACACACACCTGACATATATCTTATCCACATGATGCATATCCATCCCAGGATGCATTGCTGGGCCCCCGTCAGTTTGACCCTTCACAGGACTTTCTGACAATATGATGGGAAGCTACGGGAAACTGAAACTCAAGGGAAAGAAGTCCCCAAATCATAGAAACTCATAACATGTGGGTTCCTTCCTCCAGGTATAAAGAAAGAGCGGTTGCCGTTCTCAGTGATCTGCTTCTTACATTTTTAAAATGTAATATGATCTGCATATGCTCGGCAGGCTGGGAAAAGACGCCCTAATGCATATACTAAGCTCAACAGTTTTTCCGGGGCGGTTCAGGGCTGCTCAGGTGCTGTTCCTGTCCATTTAAGATAGTTTCCTCTCCTTCAATAAGGTTAAAAGGAATGTTTCAGGCACTGGCAGAACCTGACCATATTTACCTTTGATTCCCATCAGTATGTAAAATGTGCAGACCATCAGGCCGTCGTCTGGGTGATCAGGAAAATATAGAACAAATGACCAGTTCAAGACTCAGTATCAGAAGGGATCTGTTCTTCGGTTCTTCTGCATTCTTGGCCTTACTTTCTTGGGCTGCTTTGGAGGACCCCAAACCCAAACCAAACTGCTTAGTGTCTTGTCTCTCTCTTGCTCAAATCGGCTTTGGCCACGATTTTCCAGGGAACACTGGTTATATCAGCAAATCATCTGAGCCCACCCACAGTACATGATTATTTCCGCTTCTGTAAGCGGAATCTACGGCAGATAGAAGATGATGTAAAGAAGGCTGGTAGACCCTCTTTTGGGGTCTCCCCCTCTCAAACCTTAGGATCTCAGATCACTGACATAAACCACCCACTTACTGAGCCTAGGAGTGTCCTTTGTTTTGACCTAATCTGTGCCCTCACCCCTTGAGTTCCCAGGTCCCCTTTTACCTACGTGTTCTCACAGTTTGGTAGAACGTTATTCTTGCTCTTCCTGACACTCAGGGGTAGTCACTAACCCGGGAGAAGATACGTCCCAGATCTGCTTTTTGTGACTGTCCCTGGAGTCTAAATCCAGCCCGGGGCTCTCTCCCAGCCAAACCTGTCTGCACCTAATGGCATTGAAGACTGGCACATGCTTTTCTTATTGGGAGGGAAAAGAGTGGATTGGTTCACAAGGCAGTTTCCTTGGCGTCGGGTAGGGACACAGGCATGGTTTCTGGGAGAGGGTGGCCAAGGGGGATGCAATTGTTATGCCCCATTTGCTGAATAACCAGCCCGTAAAACAGGTGTGACTCCCCCCCCCCCCCAAAGAAATCAAATGGATACAGGGCTTTGTCTGGCTTTGTTATTGTTCGGTGGCTTAAAGTGGTGGTTCTCAAATGTTCGCGCAGATCAGATTCTCCTGGAGGGTTTGTTAAACACCAGACATTCAGACTCTGGAGATCTGGGGTGGTTCCTGAAAATGAACATTTCTAACCGGTTTCCCAGTGATGCTGGTGCACTAGTCCAAGGACCACACTTTGAGACCCACTGACTAACAGGCTTCCTAGGATTAGATCCTATGGTCTGACTAAAAGCTAACAATGGTCTTAATATCGATATGTAAAGAGGCAAAAAAAATCTTCGGAGGACTTTTTCAGATGCTTTTGCATAACTTTTTCCTTCCCAATCTTACACTATCCTGTAAGGTTTATATTTATACCTAGGGATGGCTTTATTTCTAAAGGTTCATGATAGTCAGCAATGACGTCCTGGAGTATGATTTGTGTGCAGCTGGAAGACTGTTTTGGATTCACCCCATTTTTGTTGAATCAAAAAGTTTTACATTTTTGCACGACAGACATGCAGAAATTATTAAGACCCGTTTGTTCGCATTTGAGTTTGCGAGAAGTTCTGATATTTTGCTTCTACCCAAAACTTTAGACGCCGGTTTTGACAAGATGTAAAACTAAGATCAACATGTGAGTAATCTTACCGTGCTGAGGCTTATATTTTTATCTGGTCCTGCTAAATAAGGTACAACAAATGGTTCTGATGGTTTCATCATTGAGAAAAATCCAAAGCAGCAGAGGATGACTGTGGGAAAAACCCAGGAATGGCTTGGTGATGTCTGGCAACAATTCATGGATGGTTACGCTTAAAAAAAAAAAAAAAAAAAAAAAAAGCAAGTCAGAACTTGATGGTTTCTTTTCATAAAACTTGTGTTCTCTTCCCCAAGTTCCATTTGTCCTTTGGTCCCAAAAAGGAAAAAACGAAAAGCATTGCGACAGTAAATATATACCACAGGTCAAAATGCAGGAACTTGAGTCTTGCCTTTGCATTTCTTGGTTTAAAGAGAAAACTGATGATTATTTGAAAACACTGCAGTCGGGATTAAATTTCATCTCAGCTGGAATGGCAGGGTCGCTGATGAAAAACCAGTTCCCAGCATTGCAAGCCAGTCAGCCATGCTCTCCTGTAATCTTTCATAGTAGAAAAAAGTCAGGGAATTTCTCCTATGGTGGAAATCTTGGGCCTGAGATAAGACTGGTGGAGTTTTGATAGACACAGTTGCTAAGCAAACGTCTGTTTCATGGTCCCCATCCTGAGCCTATTACCCTGTAGTGGTTGATGACCTGGAAATTCATTAATGAATGCTTGAAAATGGTGAATAAAATAGCCTTTGGGGGAGTAAAGATTTATAAAGCAGATAGAACCCTTGCTTCTTCTAAGCATTGAATTCAAAGTAAACATTGGTTTAGCATCAGAAGCCTCAACTAATTAAAACTGTCATCCACCCAGGTGATTTGGATTGTTTGTAATACCTACTTTCAGAAGAATTACATGACAATATCGCATCATGGATGAAATTCAACGGTATTTAAAAGTATTTTTCTGAGTTGATACTTGGTTCCTGCTCTACTTTTTCCCCCACTTATGTTGCTAATACTGAAATGTCAGAACTTCCGTCCGGGAGGATAAACCTTAAGGTTGGCTGACTGAAGGAAGACATGGGTAGCCTGAAGAAAGGCAATCCACTGCTCTGAGAGAATCTCCCTCGCTCAGTCTTCGACCGTTTTTCCTCCCCGAAGCTTCCTGACCCTCTCCAGCTCCTCTCCTGCCTTAGTCTATGTTCTGTCTCCGTTACAGCCCTGGCGAGGCATTATGGCATGGAAGTCAAGGGCAGGGCTCTGGAGTCAATAAGGTCCACATTCTTCTCCGCTGCTTACAAGCATGTAAACTCTGGCAAGTTACCGGGTCTCTTTGGTACCTCGGATTTCTCAACTGTAAAATAGGGAAAATAATACCTACCTCACGTTGTGGAGACTACCCACATCAGTCCATGTTAGAACGATGCCAATCAGTAAGCCTAAACTATGCAGTCTGCAGGGTGGATGGCCTTCAGAGGCACTGATGTATTGACATCCATATCTGCTAGTTAGCCTGGGAGTTCCGTGGGGGCAGGGATTCCTTTTTGTCACCGAGTCTAGCACAGAATCATATATATCAAAGGTCTCCCGGAAGGTGTCTTCAGCTCCTTGGTGAAAGTACATCCGTTGGACTAAACAGGGTTTTCTTTTTTTTTTAATTTTTTTTTTCAACGTTTATTTATTTTTGGGACAGAGAGAGACAGAGCATGAACGGGGGAGGGGCAGAGAGAGAGGGAGACACAGAATCGGAAACAGGCTCCAGGCTCCGAGCCATCAGCCAAGAGCCCGACGCGGGGCTCGAACTCCCGGACCGCGAGATCGTGACCTGGCTGAAGTCGGACGCTTAACCGACTGTGCCACCCAGGCGCCCTAAACAGGGTTTTCTAACTGAGCAAAAAAATTCATATAATAATGAGATATTTCCCAAGTGTTCTGGTTATTTAAAGTTGTCCTCTGGAGTGGGAACTATAAGCCACCATTGGATTTTCAAGAATATGGAGGTTACTCTGAAAATCGTTTTGGAGTAATGAAAGGGGAATTCCTGGTGAGAAGAACACGGGCTTTGCAGTTGAGCAAATACAGATCTCCGATCCACCTTTTAAGTTGTGTGACCCTGGACAAGTTTCTTAATGGACAGAGGCCTCAGGTTTCCTCACCTGTAGAGTGGATAACTTCCCATTCTACCCCAAGTGTTGGCAGCCAGGGTGTCAAAGAATGTTGAACTCAAAATGGGTGGATTGGTTGGTTTGACTAGACTATGGAATCTGTTCCACCGCGATGGAAGGATTCACATAGCAAGTGATCATGTGGAGAAACAGCTACAATAAATCTTGAATATGGAATTTGGACTGCGGGTGTGAGGATGGGCTCCAAGTTCGCCCCCTGCTGGTATCTTCGCTTATTGCAAAAAGACGGTGTCATTTGATCTCTGGTGTTTTGCCTGCACAGACCTTCTGGATTGAACTGCTTGCTCTATGGCCTGTAGAAAACGAATGGCTCCCTAGAAAGAACCTTGAAACACGAAGCATACGCTATTCCCTGATATGAGGTCTCTGCTGAGGTTGAAGGGAGCAAAGAACCCAACGTGAAAGATGCAAACATTCCTTCCTCGGACCTTGTTAATTCCAAGGCATTTTTCGCTTTTTAAAATTAATGGCAGAGTTACTGCTTTAAAAAGGGACGACTACTGAATTTACAGTCCCAGGTTATCTTAGTGGTGTGGTTGTTAATAGTTCAAACAGATGATAATTCGTAGTTGATTTTTAACCTGTTGCTTCAAAGGTCATTGGAAATCAGTTAAAACGTTACCAAACGGATGCTTCGATTTGCTCCTAATTATGTCAAAACGCAAATTTCTAGTCTTCCTGAGGATGTCGGGTGCATCGAATGCAGTGGGCTTCTGTTTCGGGACACAGGGCTATTTCAGCTGCTTCAGGTGGGGAGTCCTGACGCTTTGTGGAGCTGCTGTACTGGAAGGACTGGGTGGGCATCTAATAGATATCCTGGCTATTACTGTGCCGTGGACCTTCTGATAATAGGGTTTTTTTTTTCTGTTGTTATTAACTAACCATAGCTGGCTGAACTTACTTGAATTCCTTTACCTCTCCTAGTCCCACTGATTACAAGAAGGTAACAATCATCTACTTTATTGTTTCCGGGGAGTAAATGAGGTCAACAGGAGAGGACTGGGGCTCTGCGTAACGCGATAAATACCAGGGTTTTCCCCTAGCCTTTCTTTGAGAATCTGCTCTAGTCCCATGACTCAGGAAGCCACAAGACCAATGAATTGCTGATAACGTTAACAGCTCATATTGATAGCCCCAGCTAAGGTGAATCATTGATCATCAGTACAAAATGTATAAGTAATTTCAAAATTATTTTAAGAGAATAAGAAGACACTGAAAAGGTAAGTTTATGGTTTGAGATTAGATTTGCAAGGAAAACTATTCCTTTAAGGACCTAAATAGTCTGAAAGCCCTTTATAACTATTAACTTACATATGAAAGGTCATAAGTCATACGTATTTGCCTTTTAATCAGGCCTTTATGGTCAGGCCATTACGGAGAACACTTGGTAAGTTTAGTTAGGTTCTGCTCCAAATACATGCTGTCCACACCTATTCTTTTCCATGATGTTTTACTAAATTCAGTTAGCATCGTCTCTAAATTAGTGAACATTTACTGTATATACTTATTAAGAATTAAAAGAAAATAATCTCTATGCTCCAGCTCACCATGACTAAGTATTAAAAGTGGTGGTGTTTTCTAAAATCTAGATTTCTTAAATCAGCTCTCCATGCCAACATTTTCCATCTGGACCTTGCTCTACCCTTTCTAACCTGCAGTGTTGTTTAACACACAGTGACCACGTGGCCTCATCATTTTTAATGGCGATTTGACAGATTTCTTTCTAGTTGACTTTCAACGGCCACATCACTCATCTTGCTGTTCGGAGGCCGTCAGGTAGGACTAGGGACTCATTTCATTGGCATGTTTCCCTTGCATCCAGGAAATCATGAGGACTAATGGATTGTTGATACCGACGTTGGTGCTGGGAGGTGATGTGGTCTGTAACAAATATGTAAAAACATGGAGGCGGCTTTGGAACTGGATAATGGATCGGGGCTAGAAGAATTTGGGATGATGTCCCAGATGGGAAGGAGAAGCACGCTATTGGACACTGGAGGAAAGGTGAATTTTGTTAGAAAACGGCAGAGAACATGATGGAATTTTGTTCTGTTGTTGGAAGGAAAGTAGAACTTGTAAGAAACGAATCCGGATATTTTGCTTGGAGAGCTCCAAGCAGTGTTGAAGGCGCAGCCTGGCTTCTCCTTGCTGGTTATCGTAAAATATGAGGGAAAAGAAAGAAATTGAGGGAGGAACTGCAACGCAAAAAGGAACCAGTCTTCAATGATTTGAAAGATTCTCAGCCCATCTAGATAGCATACTTTGCAAACAGTGCCAAGAGCGTAGCTGGACAATCATTTGCTAAAGAGCTCGGCTGTGTGGCTAATGGATCCAATGAACCATGTTAGCAAAAGCCGGGAATAGAGATGGGGTTCCCCAGGAATGCTCCGTGGAGGGCCCTCTTGCCTGATGGTTTGCACCTCTCTGAATTGCACAGGTGTCTGATGGATCTTTGAGAATTTTATATCCACAGAATCACTACTAGCCTGGACTAACAGGGGCAGGGGAAGCATGAAATGAAAAAAGAATGACCCTGAAGGCAGAGGCACAGATGCAGAAGTTTGGGCTGATGAGATCCCCTCAAGGCCAACACGGGGAGGCTGCCGCCCTATCTGGCCCAGAGGACAGAGCATCGAGCCACACAGGATTATTCTCAGGGCTTGAAATCTGATAGAACTTGCCCTGATAATTTTTAAGACTTCCTTAGGACCCATTACCCCCTTTTTTCCTTTCAATTTCTCCTGTTTGGAAAGAAAATGTCTACTCCATCCTGTGATATTGTGTTCTGTAAGCAGATACCTTGTTCTCTGGTTCACAGGTGAAGGGGAGTTTTACCAAAGGACGAATCATATCCCTTGGGTCTCACCCATATTGATCTATATGATTTAGATGATGAAGTTTGGGACTCTGAATTGATGACAGCCTAGACTTAGAGTGGATGCTGGGATGGTGAAGACCTTTGGAAATGTTGGGAAATGGGTGAACGTAATGTTGCATGTGGGAAGGATGTAAATTTTGAGAGGCCAGAAGGCGGACTGTTATGGGCTGAACTGTGTCCCCCACACAAAGAAAGTATGTTGAAGTCCTAATTCCCAGCACCTCAAAATGGAAATTATTTGGAAACAGGGTTGTTGCAGATATAATTAAGATGAGGTCATCCTAGAGTAGGGTGGGTGTTTATTCCAATATGACTGAGATGCTTAAGGAGAAACACAGGTACAAAGACACACAGGGAGAAGGTGGCCATGTGATAACAAGGCAAAGATTGGAGAGAGGCACGGGGACCTGGGTGGCTCAGCAGGTTAAGCATCTGACTCTTGATTTCAGCTCAGGTCATGATATCATGGTTCATGAGTTTGAGTCCCACCTGGGCGCCTGCTTGGAATTTTCTCTCACCTCTCTCTGCCTCTCCCCCTGCTCTCTCTTAAAAGTAAATAAACTTAAAAAAAAAAAAAAAGATTGGAGAGAGGCATCCACAAACCAAAGAACAGCAAGGATTGCCAGCAAACACCGTAAGCTGACTGAGGCAAGGAAGGCTCTTGCCCTATAGATTTCAGAGGGTGGAGGGTTCTGCTGACACCTTCGTTCTAGATGTCTCATCTCCAGAACTATGAGAGAGAGAATACATTTCTGTTGTTTTAAACCACCCAGTTTTGTGGCACTTTTTTTTTTTTTTAACGTTTATTTATTTTTGAGACAGAGAGAGACAGAGCGTGAACGGGGGAGGGGCAGAGAGAGAGGGAGACACAGAATCGGAAGCAGGCTCCAGGCTCTGAGCCGTCAGCCCAGCGCCTGACTCGGGGCTCGAACTCACGGACCTCGAGATCGTGACCTGAGTCGAAGTCGGATGTTTAACCGACTGAGCCACCCAGGCGCTCCGCACTTACTTGTTGTTTTTTTTTGTTTTTGTTTTTTTTTTACAGTCATCTTAGGAAGCTGATATTGACTTTGATATACCTAATAGGAATTTTTGATAATTTGGACAAAATGTATGATGTATTTCACGTTTAAAATTTTTCATGAAACATATTCTAGCCCAGATTTCTTTGTATTCATACTTTCATTATTGTTAAATATAAAAAGGAAAATGCATCTTTATTTACATACGGAGTGAAATTTCCCAGTTTGTTTTTGTAGCTAATTATAAATATCTTCAGCTAGGTAATAAACATTGTTTATACCCCATATGGTGGTTGTTCAAAAACTGAAATGTTCTCATAAAAGACTGAAATGTTAGGTTTTTAAATATTTTTTTAACGTTTATTTATTTATTTATTTTTGAGACAGAGAGAGACAGAGCATGAACGGGGGAGGGTCAGAGAGAGGGAGACACAGAATCTGAAACAGGCTCCAGGCTCTGAGCTGTCAGCACAGAGCCCGATGCGGGGCTCGAACTCACAGACTGAGAGATCATGACCTGAGCCGAAGTCGGACGCTTAACCAACTGAGCCACCCAGGCGCCCCTTAGGTTTTTAAATTTAATGTTGTACGAATTGCAGAAATGATACTTACCCTTTTAGGTCACCCGCTTAAGCAAACTATAATTTAAAAAATTTTTTCTTTTAGTTTATTTACTTTTTGAGAGAGAGAAAGAGCAGAGGAGGGGCTGAGAGAGAGGGAGAGAGAAGATCCCAAGCAGGCTATGCACTGTCAGTGCATAGTCCAATGTGGGGCTCAAACCCATGAACCATGAGATCATAACCTGAGCTGAAATCAAGAGCTGGACGCTTAACCAACTGAGCCACCCAGGTGCTCCATTAAACTGTATTTTTTAAATTAAAATTTATAAATTTCCCTATGGCTTAGTCACTACTCTACTTGTAAGTTTTATATTGATTTTTCCATTGAGATACTGATGCTTATAACAACTGCTCTCCTTTTTACCGAATCTGTCTTCTTTATCAAGTTATCAAGTTTTAGAAAGAAGCGTGTGACGGTGGCAATGAAGGTGTCTCTTGTACGGGAGGCTGATGTTCCCAGGGCGCGTTTAGTAGGGTTCTGTTTTCAGCCAACAGAGCCTTCATCCACCCCCAAGTACTCAGGAAGCCTTTGGGGAAAGAAGAAAAAAAAGGAAGGAAGGAAGGAAGGAAGCCAGTTTTATTGTAGCTGTAGGAAAATTGCTCTAAACCATTCATGCACCTTTATTTGATCTCCTGGTCTGAACAGAGCATACATTCAGCACGGCTGGCCAGATTAAAAGACTTAACGATGGAAACACCATCCTGCACAAGCGATAAACGCGGGCTAGTGCTACAGGGATTTCACGATGCAAACCCTCTTTTTTTTTTTTTTCCCCCAATGGGCATTATCACTGCAGACACTTTCTGTTAAAGAAAAGATGACCAGGTTCATTCTAGAACCTTCTCTGATTATTCATGGCAGTGCTACAAATACATTGGGTCCAGTGTATTGTTGGAATGGATGTAACTCCTATTGAGTCAGAAAGAATGGCGTAAAGTGAAAATTGCTGAGCTGCTAGGTATAGAAACTCCTTTGTGAATTTTTGGGTTTTGACAGGCTGTCCCGAGTCCATTTTTACCCCTTAATTGAAAGCAGCATGGTACAAAAAAAAAAAAAAAAATTGGTAGGAGTATGTGCTAAAACGGGAGACACCGTCCAGTGGGTCTCTCCCCACTCACTGATTCAGCAGGTCTCAGCCTGGAGGGTTGAGACTGGGAATTTTCATTTCTAACAAGTTTCCAGGCGATGCTGAGGCTGCCATTTGGGGGAACCTCACGTTGAGAGTCACAGCTTAGCAAACAGCAGTTTGGAGGCAGTTCTGAGGCTGGAAATTTGAATGAGATTTCGGGGTTGGTTTTGGCTTTATGCTCCTTGAAGATTAGACACTAGAGGGCGGTGTGATCCTGGCCCATGGGGACAGAGAGCGGATGATGTCCCATCAAATCCAGACCTTTGCTTCAGCCCAGACATCTCTGATTTTTATGTTTTGTTTATTGACTGTTCACATAGGAATTTATTTTTTTTTAATTTTTTTTAATGTTCATTTATTTGTGAGACAGAGACAGAAAACAAGTGGGGGAGGGGCAGAGAGAGAGAGGGAGACACAGAATCGTAAGCAGGCTCCAGGCTCTGAGCTGTCAGCACAGAGCCCAACACGGGGCTCGAACTCACGGACCGCGAGATCATGACCTGAGCCAAAGTAGGACACTTAACCAACTGAGTCAGCCAGGCGCCCCGGAATGTATTTATTTTTTTCCACATATGAATTTATATGTAAGAAAGGTTCTACTTCCAGGAATAAATTTAAAAGCTGCTCTCTTTTTGCTGGAGATGAGGGGTGAATTGGGGGGGGGGTGTGTGATTTTATGTCCCATTGTTCAGACTGCTTTAGAATTGAAAGATAAATGGGCTCTTTAGAGTCTGGCATTTCTAAAAGTGTTTTCAATGAATTCAAATTCGCTTCATAATAGAAATAGAATTTTGAGACCAAGTAAGTTCAGAAGCATTGGGTTAAGTCAAGTCACACAAGTTCCCTTGCTGGAATGTTCCTCACAATCTTTATGTGTACGTTGGAGTTCCTTGAGAGGGGGCAGAGAATGCAGAGCCACTGTGAGTGTTTTGGAAAGAAACACCAATCTGGTCCTAATGCTTCATGTCTCTAGAAAGAAGTAAAGACTGGAAGATAACGTGACTGCTGGGTAGTGACAGGGCCTGTCTCCTGACCGCGGCTCAGCGTACCTTCCACAGGAAAAACCTACACGACCGTGTGCTGCCCATGCCCAGGTGGGTCAAATGCACTTGGTTTTGGGGGCCTTGAATCCTTCCCGTTCCACCTGTTGGAATACTTCTCCTTCAGGCACCTGAAGGTGGGCTGCATCCCACACGTTCATACAGGTTGTGCTCCAATGCCCCTTTTGACTTCTCAAAACACCCTGTCCGAGATGGTTGTTTTTTTTTCTGCCACTCTCTATATGCTTAATGGTTTTTGTTCAAATCTTCCCTTTGTTTTTGTTAACGTTTATTTATTTATCTTTGGGGGGGGCAGGGGCAGAGAGAGAGAGGAGAGAGAGAATCCCAAGCAGGCTCCCCACTGTCAGCACGGAGCCTGATGCGGGGCTCAAACCCATGAACTGTGAGATCATGACCTGAGCTGCAATCAAAGAGTCAGACGCTTAACTGACTCAGCCCCCAGGCACCCCTATTTCTTCCCTTTAAAAAGAAGAGCTGTATCCATCCACTGTGGTGTCTACTATATTCTTAGTATTTAGTAGGTCCTCAATTAGCATTTTTTGGGATAAATTACCTAGTGCTATCAAAGAATATAGCATAAGATTGACTATTGTACCCAATAGGGTTCTCCAGAGGACTAGAACCAATAGGAGTTTTTATATATTGCGTGTTAAAATGGCAAAAACTAGTGTGTTTTATGAAATAGTTCTGACAGGACCCAGATAATCCAAACACTATATGAATTTATGGAAAAATCTCCACTTGCATTTCTGGGTTTAAAATTCCAACATCTGACACTTTCCAGTAACTGTTTAAATTTAATCATATTTTATTTTTATACACCCTGGTATGTTAGAGAATATTCTTCCAGGCTTCAGGAAATTTGGATTCAAATATTATTAAGGGAGTGGGGATTTTGTATGTATCCAAAGGCCTCTCTGAGAAGGAATTCTACACTGGATTTTACTGCAATTAAGGTAACTGTCTTGGAAAATCCTGGCCACTTTTTTTTTTTTTTTTTTTTTGAATTTTCCATCTTCCACATCTCACAGGGGTGCTTCTCGTAAGCAGGTTGGCCTGTAACCACACAGTGGAAGCGAGTTCAGGCAAATATCATTCCAGGCTTCTTCCGTGCAGGAGGGAGGATGCCCTGACAGGTGGTTGTGGTGGGGATGATCTGGAGTTGCCAACGGACAAAGAAGCACAGACGTTTGTGAGGTGAAGAGCTTAAGATAAAAATCCACCTTCTGAGGAGCCTTCCCCTGCTGAGTCTCACAGAATTTTTTTTATCCCTTCTCCTTGACTCACAAAGTCCCTCTTGCCCTGCGGACCATTGAGATAATGGGGGCAGGGAGTGTGTGTATGTGTGTGTGGTGTCTTAGATATAAAACAAAGCCTGGAAATCGATGTGCTGTGTTAAAGAACTCCTGTGTTAAGGTCTTGGCTTCTGGTATTCTTAGTGGCAGCGATCCACACGTGTGCGGTCTACAGTGAGCAATACACGTATTTCCGTAAGTGTGTTCGCACACACTTGCTAGTAACAATCACCTGGCTGTCTGGTAATTTCACTTTGAAAGGAGGTTAGAGATAATGTTCACCATAGAAGATGAAGTTCCCTGGAAAAGAGTGAGTGGCTTTGGGTGGAATTTCGGCTTTCCGTGGGCAAAGAGCTTTGGGAGGGATGATCTTCTGGATTACCCCATGTTATCTACCACCCACCCTGTTCCTTCACAAGGTGGGCCCCATGAAGACTGGCTTATTTGGGGACCTATTACGTTGACTGTCCTCTTCTTCGAGGTGAAATAAATGCTGATCCAAATTCTATCAATAAAGCTCTTACCTAAGTGGAGTAGGCAGCAATGATAGACGCTAAATTACATCAGTCAAGACGAATAATGACAATGAAAACTATTTGCCAGTGGTTGGGGTGAGAGATCTGTTTTCCATTTACTTCTACTTCACAGAGAGTAGGGATATGCTCTTCCATATGGAACGTTTCTGGGGTGTTCTAGGTGTTTCTTGTGTAAGTGGCTGAGGAAATGACTATCTGTGGAGCCATCGATGAGCCATACTGACAGCCATCTGGAAGCCTACTCTCTTCTTTCATTCATCATATTTCTGTTCAGCCTGCCTGTGGGCTGTTGCACAATTCTACAGTTGAACTTTGAGCTGAACTTCTGGTCTTTTCCTCTCCATGACTTCCATGGGCCTACCTACAGCTATTTCCACTGTCCTGGAGAAGCTGAATTTCCTCCACCCTCTGAATTTTGGCTTGAGAAAACCAGAGATCAATCTAAGGGAAGAAACACAATCTCCCACTTGATGGGGATGGAAGAGGACCACAGCCTCTTTGGAGAGAGGAGGAGAAGAATAGGCCACAGCGCCAGGATTAGGCCTCATTCCCAAGGACCCTTTTTTCCATTCTACCTCAGCTCCCCATTCTCATGGCCGTACTGTATTCTCCCTCTAATAAGGGATCCAGTCGTCTGGCTGTGTCTACAAACATCTCTTCTTGCTATGTCATCAGCTACGGTCACTGTACTATTCCTTAGCTCCATTGGGATATCTGTCCCCCCCGCCCCCCAATATTCCAGCCTTCTCCTTTCCTTCTTTCCCTTATTTCTACAACAATCATGCCAATGCCTTAACCTCCATCACCTGCCCATGTTTAGATCACATCTGTGTGAAAAAAAACCTCATTCTAAGGGTTTTTGTTTGGACAACATTTGTCAGTTGGTGATTTTGCATTCTTTATCTCGTCTGGTGGATGAATAGCTGAGTTCTCCATCAGGGCTTTCCCCATCTTTCATGGAGTTCCTGGAGTGCCCTTCCAAGAGGAAGTACCAGACTCTCCTGGGTGCAATTTTCAGCCGCTACTCAGAGATTCTCCAGATTCCGATGCACCCCACCCCCAAGCCGAGAACCACTCCGAGACCTCTGCCCAGATTACTTTCCCAAAAAGGGAGCCCCTGAGGGTCAGGTCTGCACGCTGCCGGATTTAGTGCTGCACGAGGCGAGTGTGGAGGGCCACGCTCTTTAAATGACTTGTGCACACAAATATCTGAACTGCTTCAGCCCACAAAAGACTTTCAGCCGCTCCGCACCCCTGGAAGCACGTGGGTAGTCAAGTGAAACCTGTCTTCTCCTGATACCTTTGAATAACCACCCATAATTATTACTTCTAGCAACCTTCTAGAATCTGGCTTTACCGGTCTGTCCACATGTCCTGAGATTCTGAGTGCTCAGCGTGTACTCCAAGGACACAATTCCCAATCAAAACCAAATCAGTGCTTCCTAACACATACCATCAACAAGCACAGAAAAATAATACCTCCGGCACGTGCCGTTTAACCTAATACCTGCTTGGACAGGCATTGATACTACATGCTTTCTACGCCTCATTTTGAATCCTCGGAAGTTCACAAAGCAGATATTGTCTCAACCTGGCAGATGGGCAGGCAGACATTCCAGGAGAGATAACGTGGCTTGCCTGGGGTCATGCAGTTTAGTATCCAGTTCTGTAAGGATGTAAAGCTCGAAATCTTCTTCTGCCTGCTTGGTGGGGCGTGCTGATCTGAAGTTCCCTTCTCTCATTCCTTTCAAGTTGTTGTACAGCCTTGTTTCCCTCCTCCTCTGTCCAGGTCGCCCTCCCCCCACCCCCAAATTTCCAGTGTGTGACGTACAGCTTCAGGTTGCTGTCTACAACAATGCGCATCATTAAACGTCACGTATTATCTATCCCTACTGCTATAAGATGCGGCATGCGTACCCTTTTTCTCATTAAAATTAAAAAAAAAAATCTTTATTTTTGAGAGAGAGAGAGAAACAGAACGTGAGTGGGGGAGGAACACAGAGAGAGAAGGACACACAGAATCTGAAGCAAGCTGCAGGCTCTGAGCTGTCAGCCCAGAGCCCAGTGCGGGGCTCGAACTCATGAACCGCAAGTTCACGGCCTCAGCCGAAGTCAGAGGCTCAACCAACTGAGCCACCCAGGCGCCCCATTCTCTTTTTCTTATTGAAGGATAAGAATAACTGACATCCAACATCCTGTTAGTTTCAGGTGTACATCACAGTGATTTGATATTTTTAGACCATTATGAAATGATCCTCACAATAAGTGTAGTTACCATCTATTGCCATACAAAGGTATTACAACATGACTCATTATATTCCCTATGCTGTATAATACATTGGCATGGTTTATTTTAAAACTGGAAGTTTGTACCTCTTCATCCTTTTCATGTATTTTGCCCCTTCCCAGCCCCCCCCCAATTTGGCTTATGTATCTGTGAGTCTCTTTCTGTTTTGTTTCATTCGTTTTGTTTTTTAGATTCCACATACAAATGAAATCATATAGTATTTTTCTCTTATTTCACTTAGCTTTGTACTCTCTGGATCCATCCATTTTGTCACAAATGGTGAGATTTCATTCATTTCATGGCTGAGTAATGCAGCATGTATTCTTGAAATCAGTTCAGTGGACATTTACAGAGGTTTTCTTTGAATAGTTTAAGCCCCCCACAAGCTGTTCCTTGGGCCGAAGAGATCCTGCGCTATTTATTGCTAGTGGCATCTAAGAGTTGTCAGGCTTTCCGGGATGGGGTGCTTAATTCCCAGCTGGAAAGGTTCCTAGACTGAAAGTTCAGATGCAGGGGGAAGAGCGTCTGCATTGACAGCCAGCTCTATCCTTTGGATGCTATGAGGCATCGACCCCTTCTGTTCCAGCCTGCTGCTGATGCTGCTAGCCGACTTTCAGAAGTTGTTTCAAGGATGCTTTGCCTTTACCACCACACTTAACAGCATACAAGTTTGAGTAAATGTGGCAGCCCCCCTCCAGCCTTGGGCAAATGATAAAAAGCAATGACATTTTAATTATTATTTGATTCACGTACCTTCTCCATCACAAGGAGTAGAAATAAGAATTCTATACAAATTATTCTTTTCCTATGGCCCTCTCTGTTCTGATATAATTTTTTTTTCCTCTCTGGAAGGAATACTTGTCCGTATTTTATTTTGCCCTACTAGGACAAAGCAAGGGTGGTCCCCTATTGGGTGAAACCGGTGTCTGAAGCAGACACTGGAAAGGGGTCTTGGCACACGCTGTTGCCTCCAGCAGAAAAGTAAAGGCTTGTCTGGGCTTACCTTTGTGGTCTTAAAAGCGAGAGAAGAGGACGCTTTGCACAGAAGGAGAGCATTAGTCAGCAAAAAAAAAAAAAAAAGAAATTCACAAGGTGAGCGCGGTGTTCTGTCCTCTGCTCCGCTGGGACACGAGGCCAGCCGCCGTCAGCCGCGATGTCCAAGTTCCGGTCTGCAGGGCAGATCTGCAACACCTGCCGAAAATCTTGATTGAGCAATGAGGCACGCCGTGGCGTGCTGCAATCCGCAGCAGACCGGAAGGACCGGGCAGAGTTCATTACCACGGATTAATGAGCCCTCCGCCTTTGCATCCGCAGAGAATTGACTTTTTTCCTTGTATTAAAAATAGATCACTGCTATCACATTAACAGCTTCTTGGAGAAGCGAAGTTTTCGGGTTTTCTCAGCACCTATTTTTGTTAGTGGCAAGAAGACCAGTCGGTCACACTCCCGCTACTATTTTACTAGCTTCGTATTTGGATCTCACACCCCGGGTCTTTTCCCAAGTCACAGTGTTCTTCCTTTGGAACATCTAATTGGGTTGAATTTTTGAGGGCACATACTTGCCTTTTTCTTCCATGACATTTTACTTGAATGCTTATCTCCAAAGCTTGATGCATTTCCCACCCCCAACCATTTCCTTCGAGCAAGCCTCCGTTGCTAGAATCTCCAAAGCAATTTGGTCTCTGAGGCTGAATTTCAGCCACCTGCCTCTCTTTGTTGCCATTGTTAATGAGCTACATCTTTTTTTTTTTTTTTTTTTTTTTTTGTGCTGTATCACTTACAACCTGCTTTTGAGCCACCTCCTTCCGGACATTTGCAGCTGGTTCCAGGCCAGTATTCTTCTCCCTGCTTGTGGGTGTACCTCCCAGGGCTGGCACTGGCCAGTCAGCACTGCGGATTTTAGATAATGACCTCGAAACTCACATTCTTAGATTAGGTCAGTTGCCCTTATAATTGTTTCCAAAGGTAGGAAAGGAAACAAAAGGAAAGGGCAGTGTTGTCCAAAATTCTCCTTTTGTATTTAGTAGAAGAGAACAGGGTGTGTGTGGGATGCCCCCCCCCCCCCAATGCTCTAAGAACTTGCTGTGGGTATTTTAGCCCCCTCCAACTCTTCAACATTCTCTCCTTAGCTTTCTGGGTCACCCTGACTGTGGAAGAGAAACCCCAAGAGGTGTGTACCAAGAGGTATCCAGTGTGATACCTCAGATAACAGTGTCTGTGGAGTGGACACAGTTAAGTTTCCTAATATTTTTTTCCCCCTCACCCAGCCTTTTTTTTAAATTCCCAAGATCTGGAAAATCTAAGCTAGAGATAATGAATTTGTAGAATGATTTGCTTCCCGCTGCCAAAAATGCCTGCATTACTTTGGCAACTATGTTTTACACCCTCTTTATAACCCCCCCCCCCAAGTCCTACAGTGTCCTCAGAATAACTATACTAGAAAGTTACAGACCAAAGATGGGGATAAGGTCTGCCAAAATTGGACACCTGTAAATGAAATTTAAGCATTTAGTTAAATTTCATATACTTTCAAATAAAATAACATTTTAGTTTACTCTTTAGCGTTAAAGCAGGAAAAGCCCGGTAAATTTAGATAAAGCCAGCATATGTTGTTCTAATCCGGTCCAGGATCAGATGGAGAAGAAGCTGATGCTGTAGGAAGTAAGGAGAACTGTTTAATTTCTCTTTCTCTGCCGCAAATAGAAAACAAAGGACGATTTTTTTTTTAAAGACCTCTGAGTAAAAATACGCTGGTTGCAGGGGCTAGAACAATGCCTAGTTTGTAGTAAGCCCTGAATTAATTGTTAATAAGAGGGGTTAGTACTTTAGAAGGAATCTCTACCAATGCCATTCAGTAGTTTCCTCCTCATGCAGTCTCGTCTCAAAACTTCTCATTTTCCCATTAGTGCAATGGCTGTGGGTTCCCAGACTCACACGTATGCTCTGCGATGTAATTAGGCAGTAACAGGAGATGTTCCAATTCCGACTGTCCTAGCAAAATGCTAGTAATGTGGTCTTGCCATCAAACCTCAGGCAGCCCAAGAAAAGGGGTGCCTGGCCATGTCACATTTCGAAAAATAATTGCTAACAGTAACGTCAGCCCAGACTTACCGAGCCTTGCCTGTGGGCTGGCCACTTGACGCACGTCTTAACCTCTTTAATCTTCGCGACAATCCGACGAAGTATGACTGTTCTTGTCCCCATTTTGCAGGTGAGAAAATTGAGGTGCAGAAAAGTGAAGTAACTTTCCCCAGGTCATGCAGCGTGCCGGACTCTCTTCAGCGGGGCGGGTTGGCTGCACAAATGAAACAAATGTCCCTGCATCAAAGACCATCTTGGGCCATCTCCTTCCTTCTTCTGTTGTCGGGGACACAGGAGGTTGGCAAATTGGACCAGTTAGCTTTTCTCAGGTCTGCTGGTTTCTGTTCCTTTCTGGACGAGTCCTGATCTCTGCTTCTCCTGCTTCCGGTATCTGAGATGGCCCAGCTCCCAGTCCTCTGTGCCCCCTCCCTGCCTGGCCAAGCTGTCGGGGCATAGTCCACACAGTGAAGTGTGCACCCTGCTCGAGCCAACTTCCTTTGTAAAGTCACACAGAGACTCGGGTTTGGGATCTAGATCTTTCTGGGAATATAGGTGTCTGGGGGCAGGGGAAGGGGGGCAGGGGGGGAGGCCAACATCTTTTCCAGACTGCTGTGACCAAAGATTCAGAATTTCTTTAGAATTTTGTGCTCAGTAGCTTAAAGTCCTAGAACCAGATTTAGAAAAGACTCCCAGCGCCGCCTCCCACCTGGTGTAGACGCCACCCGAACCCTCCCCTCCCCCCTCCCCACAGATGATGTTTTCCAGCCTCTGCAAGAGTAAAGGGGCATCAGATGGTCAGCTCACAATGTTGTTGCTTTTTCCTTGCTTTTTCACTTTCCACCTGAATAGGAGGTGTTTTGATATGTAGGGAAGAATCTATATGCGTCAGGAAAGAACTAGACATTGTCTTGACTCTGAAGCACATTCTTCCGAGTTACCTGATCCTAGCCTTTCATCGCCAGGTGGGCTATTTTCCAGACCTGTACACTGTAGATAAGTACATGCAACATGAAATAATTCTTATTTCATGCAGGTGAACTCTGCCCAGTAGAGGGACCGTCCTTCCTCCATGTGGTAAAAACTCTAAATGTTTCCAGTAAGGATGTAAATGAGAAAGGACGCTACATTCTTTTCTGGATGTTGGAATAAATAGTAAAGAAGAAGCCATTTGTCACGTGTCCTGGGTGGCTCTATCACCATCCTCCTCGAGATGGCATTCCAGGGCCTCCCCCAGCAGAAGGCGGCACTAGACCTCCCTCAACTCCGGAGTCCCCCTCCTCCCCTCTCCTGAGTCCTCTCTACCGACACCACGGGGTGCTGTGGCTGTGGAAGTTGCGGTGGCTGAGGCGGTCGCTGCGACAGGTGCATCACCTGCAGGTGCTACCGGGTGGGCTGCTGCCCCTGCTGCTGTGGCTGCAGGAAGGGCTGTGGGAAGGGCAAGACGCAGTGCTGTTGCTAGGTGGCTGGGGGGTAAGAGGCCGTGGGGCATCTGCTCCCTCCAGTTAATGAGATGTTCCTGTCTGCCTCTGCTCCCACACCTCCCCGCTTGCTATCGCCTGGGTGCCCTGGACTTACTCTTTTTTTTTTTTTTAATTTTGTAAATGTTTATTTGAGAGAGAGAGAGAGAGAGTGTGTGAGCACGGAAGGGGCAGAGAGAGAGAGGGAGACACAGAATCTAAAGGAGGCTCCAGGCTCTGAGCTGTCAGCACACAGCCCATTGTAGGGCTCAAACTCACGAATGTGAGATCATGACCTGAGCCGAAGTTGGACATTTAACCAACTGAGCCACCCAGGTGCCCCACTCTTTTTTTTTTTTTTAAGTTTTATTTTTTATTTGAGCAGGTGAAAGTACATGAGTGGGAGAGGGGCAGAGGGAGAGAGAGAGAGAATCTCAAGCAGGCCCCATGCTCAGTGTGGATCCCCATGTGGGGCTCCGTCCCACGACCCTGGGACCATGACCTGGGCTGAACACAAGAGTCGGATGCTCAACCAACTGAGCCACCCAGGCGCCCCAGGACTTCCTCTTTGGAACGATATGGCTGGATTTTGAACTCTGTGCCCTTCTCTATCAACTCAATGGTCCCAAACCATTTTATTTGAAAAAAATCCCAAAGAAGTCATGGGCTTTGCAAGGATGTAAACCCAGCCAACACCTGAAGATCAGTCACTCCGTGAGCCCAGCCAAAGGGATCACGATCCTGAGTATTCTCTCTGAGCTGTATTCGTGTGGTCTCCCAACTTAGTACTTCTACTGCTCTGCACCTGTGCGCAAACTCTTTTTATTACTATTACCGTTTTCCATTACTTTCACTATTATTTCCAGTCACCATGTAGGTATTGCCCAAGTTTCCAAATGAAACACAGAAAACAGCCACAGATGGACAAGCGGGCAAAGAAATTGTGATGTGATATGCCTGTGTACGTGTGCATGTGTGCGTGTGTGTACGTGACAGAAGCCAGAGAAAAATAACTACTGTTTGAGGTCTCTTGTATGTGGAATCAAAAAAAGGACAAGATCGTAGATACAGGGAAGAGGTCGGTGGTTACCGGGGGTGAGGGTGGGACAAACAGGGGAAGGGGGGTAAAAAAAAATCAAAGATGCAGAAAACAGCCCTCAGTGATTCTGCTTGTATTCTGCTGTGGCTACAGGGGGCCTGCAGGAAGTTTCTGTCATCCTGGCCAAGCTGTACGGATGTGTATATGGCAGCAGAAGGAGCTCAGGGCTGCTGGGCAGGCCACCGCCAGGCCTGGGGCCTCCCCTCCCAGCCACCTGTCATTTTTTCATCTCCTGAGACTGGTAGGCACTTCCCCCAGATGTTTCAGCGCCCACTGCCTTGTGTGCCTCTTCCCGAAAGGCCCAGTGACCCTACTCATTTGTCAAATGTGGGTCATGTGCCCTGTAGCGACAATTTCCTCAAGCCAGATCTAAATATTTCACCTACATCAAGGCAAAGGGCTAGAACCGTAACCTTTTTCTTTCTTCTCAGAAATGGTTATTCTCTCGCCATTCCTTTCTTTTTTTGTTGTTTCATGTTTTTTAATGTTTTTATTTTATTTTTGGGAGAGAGAGAGAGAGCGCGAGCAGGGGAGGGGCAGAGAGAGGGAGACACAGGATCCGAGACAGGCTCCAGGCTCCAAGCTGTCAGCACAGAGCCAGACTCGGGGCTCAAACTCATGGACCATGAGATCATGACCTGAGCCCAAGTAGGACGCTTAACCGACTGAGCTACCTAGGCACTCCCCCTTTCTTTTTTTAAAGTTTTATTTTTTATTTGAGCAGGAGAAAGTACATGAGTGGGAGAGGGGCAGAGGGAGAGAGAGAGAGAGAGAGAGAGAGAGAGAGAGAGAGAGAATCTCAAGCAGGCTCCATGCTCAATGTAGTACCCCATGCAGGGCTCTGTCCCACGACCCTGGGATCATGACCTGAGCTGAAAACAAGTCAGCAGCTCAACCGACTGAGCCACCCAGGAGCCCCCATCTTGTCATTTCTCTCCCCTTACTTCTATTGTTTATGATTTCTTTTTTTTAGCTTTTATTTTTATTTGTTTTGAGAGAAAGAGTATGTGTGCTTACGCACGAGCGTGTGGAGGGGGTGCGGGCAGAGAGAGAGGGAGACTGAATCCCAAGCAGGCTCCGTGCTGTCGATGCAGAGCCCAATGCCGGGCTCGATCCCATGAACTGTGAGCTCATGACCTGAGCCAAAATCAAGAGTCAGCTGCTTAAGCAACTGAGCTACCCGGGTGCCCCATGACTTCTGTTTTTGTTGTTTCTGTAAATCATTCTATCTGTAAATCTATCTGTAAATCTACAAAACAAAGCATTTAAGATATTTCTCCCTAAGGTGCTCCTACCAATCAAGAAAACCTACCCCTTACAAAGCAAACATATATTTTAATATATATATTATAATACATTATATTACATATATTAAATATATATATAAATCTTATATATATCTTACATATATAATACATACATATATATTATATATAAATCTTTCTATTTAATGAGATACCAAATAAAAATTTTTCATTTCAAAATACTCTTTTCCCTTCTGTGTTTGTTCCTTTTAATTATAAATGTACATTTAGGATATTCATGCATATTGCAAAAAAATGGGAAAAAAAAACATCAGAATGGTCACGTGTAAAAAAATCTGCAGCTTATTTCCTCTTGTTATTTCTCAAGAGGCTAAACATTTTTTTTTTTTTTAATTAGCATTTCAGTTTGGTTATGAGTCATTGACACGGTGCAAAAAGCATCCAAATCCATGGGAACTGACACGTCCACCACATTTCTCCTTCCCCCGTGTCAGGTCATTGTTATTAGCTTTGTTTGTCCTTCCAGAAAAGTTGTGTGTGTATATAAGCCACTACCCACACTTACATTTACACAAATGAGGAGCTACTACACTCATTGTTTTCCACCTAATGGTTTATTCTACCTCATACTTCTCTCCACCTAATAATTTATTTTATAGGCCTTTACCACGATGTAATGATCTTCCTCATCTTTATCCCGTTAATAGTATTACAGGTGAACATATTGACGGACCATAATACATCGTCCCTGTCTCCACGTAACAACCTTTAAATAGTTTCCACTCCTGGGGCGCCTGGGTGGCGCAGTCGGTTAAGCCTCCGACTTCAGCCAGGTCACGATCTCGCAGTCCGGGAGTTCGAGCCCCGCGTCAGGCTGTGGGCTGATGGCTCGGAGCCTGGAGCCTGTTTCCGATTCTGTGTCTCCCTCTCTCTCTGACCCTCCCCCGTTCATGCTCTGTCTCTCTCTGTCCCAAAAATAAATAAAAACGTTGAAAAAAAATTTTTAAATAGTTTCCACTCCTGTGTTCTCAGAAACAGTATTGTCATGAAAAACAGTTGTGTGAGTCATTTCCCAGGTGTGCAGTATAGCAATAGTGTCTATTTCTACCAGAGAAATCTATAGGTGGAAAGATACGTGCATTTGTAATTGGGGGTGTGGAGTTTTCCCTCACAGCAATGGAGCTGATTTGTACACGCGCCAACCATCTTTGAGACTGCCCGTGGACCCATTGCCAGAGAACTAAGTGTACTGTTACTCTTCTGGATTATTTTCTAGTCTGCCAGGGGACAAATGGTATCTCATTGTCATTTGATATTCATTTTTCTTAAGAGTTAAACATCTACGTGTCTGAGCCTTATTTTGCTTTCTCTGAATTCCCTGTTCACATGCTTTGCCCATTTTTCTACTAGATGACTGATCTTTTTCTTATCAGTTGGTATTGCTTCTTTAGAAATTAAGGAAAGCAGCTTTAATGAGTTGCAATATTTACTGCAGATTACTGTTTGTCTTCTGGGTTTGTTTGCCGTGATTTTTCTCCCACATGTAAGTTTATGGTGTCAATTCATTTTTCTAAATGACTTCGAGGTTTTATGCTACTTTAGAAAGGTTTGAGGTTATAAATAGTGTTTATGTGTTTTTTCTACTATTTTTGTGGTTTCATTTTTTATATCTGTGTACTAATATATATACTGCATATTGATAAAGTTATTTTATCACTTTTGCACCTAATTTAGTTTTTCTTTGAAAAAAATTCTGCCAATCTTATTAAATATTCCATTTTTTCTTCCTTTGTATAAGATGGTATCTTTATCATAGTCTAAAATCCCATATAAACTAGGGACTAAATCAGAACTTTCTACTCTATTCCAGTGGACTGTCTCTTCATGTTGCTATGTTATTATAGTTAAGAGTTTAGTGTAGCATGTTATTCTCTGCAAATAATTTAATCTCATTTTCCCTTGACAAAGCATTTTCTTGGTTCTTCTTTGTTAGGTTTCCAAATAAAATGTAGCATCACCCTTAGGAGTTCTGAAAAAAAAAATGTATTTTTTTCCTCTGGTATAGGATTTAACTTATAAACTTATTTAGAAAGCATGATGTCTTTATATAATTTTTCTTCCTAACCAAGGACAAGATAGGCCTTTCTATATGTTTAGGTGTTATTTTGTAATCTTCAGAAGTGTTTGCCAGGCATATTCATATATGCCTTACACATTTATTAAATTACTAAATAGATTAAATATAATTATTGTTGCATTATTTTTGTCCTACCATAACTCAGGTCTGTAAGTCCCACGCATCTTCTAAATGGTTGTTGTACCACGAAGGCTGTTGATTGCTATATATTTACTTTCTATACTGTGATCTTAGTTTTTAGTTGAGTCTTCTGGGTGTATGCTTGTAGTCTCTGGAATAATGATAATTTTGCCTCCTCTAGTACAGTTTTTCACTTCTCATTTTTTTGCTTGTCTAACTGTGTTGGCTTATACCACTAGTCCAACCAATTAAATAGGAAGAATAATAGTGGTCATCCTTTCCTTGGTTTTGCTAGAAGTAGCAATATCATTACTTTTCCCTAGTAAGTAAATGTTGGCTTTGGGGCTGAGTTTTATTTTCAGTCCAGTGATCGGATTTTAGAATTTGGAGAAAAGTATATCTGAAACACAAATCTTGAATGGGCATTCTATATTTCCATGGAAGACTGCTCAATCTGTCTTCTATTGAAGTTGCAAAGGATAAGCACAGATGATTCTCAGCACAATCCATCCAAAAATTAGAAAGACTCTTTAATATTTTTGCCCACATTATTTTATTTGGCACAAGCACTGCCCTTTAAAAATTAGGCGTTTCCCCCACCCTATTAGTATTTTCTTACTTAAAAATACTTAAAAAGTCCTAGAAATTTCTAGTTAAGTTTCTCTGTTTTACACAGAGATCACACGGACACAGCATTAAAACACCTGTCTGGGGTCATGGTAGGGAGAAAGCCCGTTGTCTCCCCTATGGTCACGAGGAATTGACTTGAATGTCATTCTGTGGATATCCAGGAACGTCTGGAGCTATTCCTGAGGTAGATTTTTAACAACAAAGCTCAGCAGAACCCAAAGCGAAAAATAATCATGACCGAATTAAATGGTGATATTACCAAATTTTAGCTTGTGAATAATGCCATGTTATCAGGATTGAAGAGGGATCCTCAGAAATGGGACCAAACCTTGAAATTCTCTCAGAGAACTGCATGCTATATAGAAATATACTGAATAGAAGAAGAAGGAAAATGGCCATGTGACAAAAAATGTCCCCTCTCTTGCCAGTTTCAGCAAGATAAAACAAAGATGTGAGCCAAGCAACAAGGTGAATCTAGTTAGTATTTCTGCTCTGGAGTCGGGAACATCAAGTCCAGAACGGCTGGAGTTTCTCGTGGTTTGTTTCCATGCCATTTGCATGTCCTAAAGAGTAATCAGAACCAGAATTTCCCAGTCCTTGCTACTCCCTGGGGTCCCCAGCACGGACTGTTTGACTGAGGTGACGGGACCTGTTGAATGCATCCAGCTGGGCACATAGACATCTGGTCTAAAACCGATATTTTGTTGGGGTTTTGAAAAGGTTCCTTGAAATCCAGACTTGGGAAGTGTGTCATTTTGTGTCACTCGGTGACTTTGCGACCAGGCGGGTCCTTTCTCAGTGGATGCAGTGGTTGCCATAAGGTTAGAGCTTTGTTTCCATGTTGACATTCCTGGGTCCGTCTGGGTGGGGCTCAGCTGGATTCTGACATGTAGGAGAGCTCTGTGGCTGCTCTTGGAACTTGGTTGAGCAGATGATGTATATGCTTCTCATTAGAAAAATGCCAGCAATAACTGCAAAATAACTCCCATAAACTAAAAACTAGAGAAAAACAAGTAGAATTAATTAGACACACACAAAATATGACTGTGTCTATTATTGATAATACATAGTGGTGCTATTGATTTGCTTGCATTATGAGATAACTACGACCCAGGATCTTAATATGAGTCATTTAGATTTGCACAATACTTTCTTCTATCTTAGAAGAATCACGTATGAAAGTGTAAGAAATGCAGTAACTAGGGGTACCTGGGTAGCTCAGTCTGTTAAATGTCCGACTTCAGCTCAGGTCATGATCTCACGGTTTGTGGGTTCGAGCCCCACATCGGGCTCTGTGCTGACAGCTCAGAGCCTGGAGCCTGCTTCGGATTCTGTGTCTCCCTCTCTCTCTCTCTGCCCCTCCCCCGCTCATGCTCTGTCTCTCTCTTTCAAAAATAAATAAACTTTTAAAAAATTAAAAAAAAAAAAAAAAGAAACGCAGTAACTAAGAATGCAGGTTCTGGAGCCAAGGTTGCTTGGGTTCAAACGCCAGCTGACATCACCAATAGTGAAAAAAACCCCACTAAATCCCACTGATATGTGTGTATGTTTGCAGGACAGTGCAACGCCATATGTAATGTCCCCAAGGATGAATTTTAGATAATGAGGTTACTTCTTACATGCCTTATCCCTGCCTTTTCCAGATCCATATGTAAAATGTGAGACTGGGCTGATTTCAAGTACCTCAGTGGAGCAGGGAAAAGGAAATTGCCGACTTAAGCATTTAGCTAAGCAATTCAAGAAGCGAAGGCTTGGCAGTGGTGAGGTTGACAAAAACCCTTTGCGATTACCTGGTTATTCTACACTCCCCGCAACATCCGAGTAGGAAACAGCAATCCTGCAGCTTACCTGAATGCTGATAGGCAGGTTGAGTCCTTTCTGATCTACTACGATCACTGTCATAATGGTCTGGATCACCAGGGCCACGAAGGTGTTCATTCCAAACACCAGGGCATAGCGCTCCACACTCAGATTAACTGCAATCTGAAATCTATCATTAAACGTTGAATTACATTTTTTTGGAAACAAAGTACACGTGGGATTCTTACCTTTAAAAGGCAGAAACTGAAGATAAATGTGGTGACTTGTTACCCGCACTTTTTGTCTAAATCTCCTCCAGTTTCGACAAAGGGGCAGAGCAAAGAAAGGGAATTAAAAAATACAGTTGAAGGCCGAATTAAAATACAGTTGAAGGAAATAGGACAAAATTCCTCCTCTCCAATTTAATGCTTCCAGAAATGAAACCTAAATGTTCTCCGGTCTCACTCATAACCTGAGAATATTCAATGCTATCTGATTTTTGATACCTTTTCGCAGCGAAATGTAAGCACCGCCCAATCTACGGAATCGTTTGGAGCGTTATTCTTTTTATTGTCAATTGTATTCACAGTTTCAAATTTTTGTAAGTGAATTATTTATTCATTGGAAGATCAGATCATGCCTGGCTATGCAGCTGAGTGAATCTGTAATGTATTTTTGATAATTTGATAGATTCTGTATCTTACAACTCATGAATGAGTGGCAGAAGTATGTTCTCGAGCGCTCTCCCTTGGAACAAAGGTGAAAGGCTTTGGGTTCTGAATATCCTTAAAATGAAAAGAAGTAATGCAATCTTACCTTAACAATGCCCTCACGTTAAAAAAAGAAACTTGATTCATTAAACTGACATATTTCCATGAAAAAAGTAAACCTGCCAACAGACTTTCTTTCTTTTGTTCCATGATCTTTTCCCATGGTATTTATATTTCGGTGTTTCATCAATTGCTTATCAAATATTTTTCACACATTAAAAACCAAAACAATACAGCTTTTGGCTCTACCTCTTTCCTGTGACTTGAAATTCAAATGTTTCTTATCTCTTTGGTTAATACCAAAGTTTATTTCCTATAGTCAGCTTTCTTTGCACTTCTATATACGTAACAAAACATTTTTCACTGTCAAAAAAAAAAAAAGATTTCTGGGATATACAGTTTCTTATAATTGTTGCATCTGCTTCTTTCAAAATACAACTTTTTATAACTTTCTGAGTATATTTTGCTTCACACAAAAGCATATGCCTACAATTACATAAACCAATGAAATCGGTCATGAAATCTACGTGTGATCATTCAAAATCAGGTTGCACCATACCCCGTGAGGGCAAATGGCTTGCAATAAAAATCATGACCTGACAGTGCATCATTGCTTTTGGTTTATGAACCCACAGAACTTTGTTTTTTCTCTGATGGCTGACCTTAGCAACATTCAGAGGGCAAACAGTTAAATGAAAACATGGCTTAATTGTGTCCAATTTAATATGTAATCAACATTTAATACTGCAATCGATTAAAATCCTTCTGAAATTCTGAAAGAAACTCTCGAAATGCAACAGAAGGGAGAATATGGCGTGGGTTTAGGTGTGGAGAGACATGGCTGGTAATACTTACGCTGCTATGGTTATAAGAAGCATATAGCTGGACTTGAATATTAAATAGCCAGCATAGCACACCCAGATGTTGGTTGTGTAATGCATGAGAAACAGAGAGCCTGCACTAATGATGGAGAAGATCGCTAGAGCCAACTCTCCCAGGAGATCCCAGTTGACTTTCACAAAGCCCACGGCAAAGGCAGCCACGGCCCCTGGAAAAGAAACATTAAGGGAGATCCAACACAATGACTTTACACACAGGATATGTCAACATGCTCCCTTCAAAAATCCAGGTCATAAGTAAATCTACAAGATGAATATATGGCTTTCACAAAAATAGTGTGATCCACCTAAATGTTGATTTATCTTTTTCTCAACCATGCTTTCTTCTGGCTTCTCCCTTTACCTCCTATTCTTCCAATCAGTTTCAATTCGTATCTGCTACATGCCATGAACTGCACCCTGCAGAGGGGCCAGAAAGTTTCTTTACCACAGCAGACTGGGGTACACAACACACAAACCAGTCCGTGACTACAACAGGTGAAGGGCAGGGACAGAGAAGAATGAGACAGCTGCTTAGATAGTACACCTAGCCCATCCACACTTGCCTTTCTTTATTGTCTTTTTACCGTAAATTTTTTCAATGGGTAACAGATGTGTTGCACTGAGTAGAACCTTTTGGTCTTTATTAGTAATCTTAGTCCTTTAGTCTCCATCTCAGTGTCTTTGAGATCTGGCCTCATTTGGGTGAACTCGATATTGACTTACGGGGTTTAAGAGATTGAGTAACTAGGGCACCTGGGTGGCTCAGTTGGTTGAGTGTCTGACTTTTGATTTTGGCTCAGCTCATGGTCTCACGGTTTGTGGGACTGGGTCTTGTGTTGGGGTTCTGCGATTCGGGCACTGTGCTGAGCATGGAGTCCATTTGGGATTCTCTCTCTCTCTCTCTCTCTCTCTCTGCCCTGACTCCCACTCATACTTGAGCACGCTCTCTCTCTCAAAACAAAGAAATAAAAAATAAACTTAAAAAAAAAGAGATTGAATAATTGACAGTAATCAGGGTTAGTCTTTATAGTTCTCTTTAACAAAATGAAAGGTATTTATTTTCAAATGACTAACGTTTGATTAATTCCCTTTCCACATGTGATCCAAGAAAGAACCAGTGCTACAAAGAAATAAAATTATTTTTTCGCCCTGAATTTGGAACATAGGGGAAATAATTTCAATAAACCAATTCCAGTGCAGTCCTGATTTGCAGGAATTAAGATGAGGCCTCCCAAAGGAGAGACAATAAGAGAACAGACACTCCATGAGTTTTCTGACATTTTTTGTAAATGTCAGGGTGTGGAAATCTCTTACTTCCTAGAAAATATCTTTAAAGTCTCAGTTGAATTTAAGTTCTCATTTACCAGGATATAAATATTTATTGTAAACTTCAAAGGCAGATTTCCTTCTGACATTAGAATCCTGACTCTCACATATATCCCACTTCTCATTTAGATCTCTTAAGAAAGTTACTTTTGGAGCTATCTGGTGTAGAACCTAAAACTGCTAAAGGTGAGGATGAGCTAAATCAAATCCTTTATTAACAAAACTCTTTCCATGGTAATCTGGAAGTCGTAAGAGTTTCATCCATTTTCTAAAATCTACTCACTTATATACACGGTGAGTATTTTCTTTTGGATATTAAAAACAATCCTGGAAGAACAAGGGGCGTTATTAGCACCTTTCCTGAGGATGAAATGGAATCTTAGGAATTTGGCTAGAATTTAATCATTTGGTGCCTAATCCCGAGCTCTCGAGTTATCCATTGTAACTCTACCACATTAAATTAAAGTGTCATGGTCTTCTTTTTATTTTTATCTCCTGTACCTTCCATTCCAAAAAAAAAAAAAAAGAAAGAAAGAAAAGAAAAGAAAAAGAGAGAGAGAGAGAGAGAAGATTAATATGCTTTCTGAACAGAACCACCGTGGAGTTGAGTTTAGCAACTGGAGACATAAACTCAATGGGGGTAGCCCATCAAAGGAAGACAAATCAATGTTTACTTACCTCCAAAGGTTGCAACAGCTTCTACTGCCCCATTATAGATGAAAGAATTTTGGGATGGTGCCTTGTAATCCCACAGGATTTGAACATAGTTCAAAATTTGGTTAAAACCTGCTGTGGAAAAGGCCCACCACAGAGACCAGTAAAAAAGATGATGTGAGGAGTAGCATCCCTTCAAATCTTGGAACCACTGTACAAAAACTCTCAAGGCGACATTTCTTGGCACCGGATTGCTCACCTGCCGACCCTCCAGGGTCCCTGAGATGGTGGGTATTTCTGAAGTGGGTTTCTCTTCGCCACCTGGTGTGGGAACCTTGTAAGTTTCATCTAACACTGCGGTGTTGTTTGGTGGCTTTTGTACTTCTTTGCTGGCTTGTACATGAAAAAACATGCTCTTCTCAGGCATTGGTAGGAACAGGGAGAAAAGAAGGGCCACACAGACAGAGGCCAAGGATATGACGTTGAGGTAAAAGTACGATAGGCTGGCCAGGGATACCAGGAGCTGGGCCAGCACCGAGGCCGCCGTGTAGGCCACCAGGGTGACGCTCCTGCAGTAGCCGCTCACTTTCTGGTAGTGCTCCGGGCTGACCACGCTGTAAATGTAGGCATAGTAGGCCACCTCGGTGGCGGTGACCATCCCATAGAAGAACTCTACAACCTGCATGGCCCTCACTCCCTGGCCAAACAAAAGCAGCAGCCAGGTGACGACGAAGCTGATCCCCTGCAGGATAATGACTGGCTTGTAGCGGACGTAGTCGGTGGCGATGAACACTGGGAGCAGCAGTGCCAGGTAAGAGTATGTCCAGATGGGAAGGATCTCATTTGTGATCTGTGAGGTTGAAAGATGGATCATGTGACCACGAAGTGCCAGGAGGTGAAAGAGATAGAAACCTTTTTAGGTAGTACATTGCTATAGTATAGGTGGCTCGCCCACTATCAAATTCTGCGTCCAGTTGGATAGCATAGTATTCGTATTAGCGAAGAGCACGACAGAAAACTGATTTTCAAGGAAAAGACAGCTCCTCCCCCTTCTCTAAAACCAAACCAGTTTATCAGTTTATGCGAATCCCAACAGAATATATTTGCTTCATGTGGAATCCGAACTCTTTTAAAATTTAAATAGTATGTACATTTGAGTTAAATTAGTTAACAATCGTTCAACAGACACTTCTGGGGTTTTCAGGCTCTTAAAATATACCGTCCCCTTCCTGTTCAAAGGTTTTAATGTTAGACAAAGCAGCCCCAATGTTAGAAGAATCGGACAACCTTTATATTTATTTGATCCGTCACCACGTCATAAAAATCCACAGTCTGATGAGCTCACGCGAAGACAGCAAAGACTCAATAACCTTGCAGAATTACAAAGTGCGGACAAGTAATGCACAGAAAGTTCGGTGCCAAATTTGCTGGGCTCCTTAACCCTCTTGTCTCCCAATTCTATTGGTTGATCTCTGCTTGCTCAATTCTGGCCTCAATTTGATGTGGGCATCACACGGCTATCGTCCGAAATGCAGGGGACCTCAGAGATCATTCAAAGAAAGGAAAGACCGACCAAAGGAGTTGATCTTTGGGGCAGGATGGGTGTGGCAGAGACTCATTCGCACCAGCCTTTGTCCTGTGCCTCTCTGCTGTCTACAGCAACCTCCATGGGTCCCAAGGTCAATGATGAGGAACAGTTCAGTGATTTGAAAGGCTAGTGGGACTGAGCAGCACCTCTCAGCATAGGTGCATTAACTGGTCTGTAGTGGTCACAGAAGCAGACCCCAACGAGTTCATTGGCTGGTTTTGGACCTTTGTCCTTTGTTTTGTCTCAGTCCTGACAGGCTTCCATCTGGACAAAACTGGAAACAGAGTCGCCCCTAACTGATATTACATCACCCCACAACAAGTTTGCTTTCCTGTCCTTCGCACCTCACCACCAAATAACTAGCATCAATTAGCCTTTTGGGCAGAGTTGCCCACCCTGCAGTGTTTCTCACGGCTATGGCTGGAGCTTACAAAACCAGCCCACGGTAGCGCTCCCATTGGGTGAGTGCATTTTCTTGTTGCACTTGTTATAAAAAGGGAGGTGAACCTTTTACGTAAGAGAATTCCGTCTTCAGGGGAAGCTAAAACTGGGAGATAAAGCTGTTAATGTCTCACCTGCTGGTTAATGGTTTTTCAAGACTGAGTAAGTGTCCTACAGAAACGATGCAGTTCTTTACCAGATCCTGCTCCTACCTCGGCAGCCTGAAAGTTTCTTAGGACTGGATCCTGTGCCTGGCAGAGACTTTGCTTTAGGATTTGTTTAACAGATTCCATTGAGACCTGAAAGTCACCATGCGTTGAGACTAATGGTAGGACTCCACAAGAGTTAAGATCGTTATTACACATATAGCTATTACACATATTACACACATTGCAAGTGTGAGGAGAAAAGAGTAGTTTGAATAGTTGTATTAAATGACAAATACCATGAAAATAGGATCAACTGAGGTCAGTGTGTTAATGTCTCCAGTTGAAAGAAACCCTAACCCAAAGTCCCGTCCGAATGCTGTAAAATTAAACCACGTTAAGATATGTATATGTATCAATTTACCTCTGAGCTGGTCAGGTTTTTATCTGGTCCAGATAAATATGGGACTAAGAAGGGTTCTGAGGGTCTCATCATGGAGAAAAATCCAAATAAACACAGGATCACGGTGGGATAAATCCAGGAATGGCTCGGTGAAGCTTTGAAACAACCCATTGCTGATCAAATGGAAACAAAGCCAAAATTAGCTGATGTTTAATTATTTTTGGTATCTTGGATATAAAGAAAACCCGACTGCTAAACATTTTGTGAAAGGATAAAATTTCACCTGTCTGCAGTTGAAATGGAAAGGTGAGTGACGAGTAAGTGTTCTCAGGTATTCCTTAGGTGCACCAGTCAAACCCTTCTTTGTCAACGGGCTTGGTCCTCACTATTGCTGGGACAGGATCACACTTCCCTAGTGTTCTCCATCACAAACATGATAACGAGTAGTTACTAATAAATGGTGAACAATGGGTTAATCGATGTTCGAGAGTAAGTAAAACATTGATTGGTGAATTACTGGTGTACACGTGGTAGGTGAAGTACCTTTTGGAGGTCAAATGTAACTGAATACCCATTTAGTCGATCAAGTTGCTACGAATCTGCCCACTATATTTTGCACCGTGACCGTGAAATCTTGAACACGTCGAATGGCACGTCTTTATTCACACATTTATCTCTCTATTACACTATCCCTTGATTAGTATTGTGCTTGACACATAACGGACACCCAAGATACTTTTGTTAGGTGTCTCCAATCTGAGAATTTATAATTCTTCAGTTAAAAAAAAATTAAACCAGGTACAGGTGCAACTGGCCATTCTTCCATGTTTCCCCCCTTTTCCAGGTTGATGCTAATTCTATGTTGGGAATGAAAGGCATCGCTTTGTAGACTGTTATTCTGCTTTTCATTACGACTGGGTCCATTTCTTGTCTCAGTCTGCAGCTTTACACCCCTCAGTGGGGCAGGCAGCTCATTAATGGTTTATACTTTGTTCCTAACCCACAAATGAGATTGCTTGAAGTTCAAATTTCAGACAAAAAGTCCAATGGATTATCTGCAATAGGAAAATTCCTTCTTATTCCTTCCTATTTTGGATCAAGCTTTACTTACAAAATATATACATTTTTGGTGGCCTTGGATGAGGTTAAGTTCTCTGAGATAATTTATAGGGAGGAAACTAACTTGTGAGTATGAGGCTTTTCTGCACGTTATCTAATTAAGTCCTAATAATAGCTGTAAAATATACACTATTTCCCCAAATTCCCAGGTGAGCCTATGGGAGATCCAAGGTGTCCTACAACTGGCTTCAAGCCACACGGTCAAGATTTGAATACAGATCTCCCGGACTTCTCTCTGGATCCCTTCCCCTGCTCCACTCTGTCTCATTTTGGTGGCCCTATTTCACTGGGCTGCTGGTAGTAAGCCTACTGACAACCTCCCCTTGCAGTGAGGGGAGAAGGTGTTTTCACGAACACATTTGTCTTAAAGATTATGACTTACTACATAGAGCTTCCCAGGTCAATTGTAGTTTGAAAGTGGACCCAAGAGAGGGAAAGTAATCCTCACTCCAGAGGAGCAAGTCATTGAGTGAAATTCCAGGGATCCAGGAAGAGGAAGAGGGATGTGGGGAGGGCCTACTGGGTCACACCATGGGTCTGCCACCCACCCCATCTTTTCATAAGTTGACCTCAGACCACTGCATGGTTCCTATCTGGAGTTAAATGAGGGGAACACTGTGTGTTTATGTCAACAAAACCCTCAATGAAGCAGCGCAGAGACAATGGAAATCAGAATTTGGATGGGATCATAATTGCAAGCAAGGCTGACAACATGAAAATTTTGCCAAGAGCATACTGGGTTTGACTGCCCTCGGCCCTCAATGCTCGGGATTTATCTCTTCCTGAGTGGTTGCTAGAAGCTCCAGAGACCTGCTGGGGCCTTCTTTTTTTGTAAGTGATGTTCTCGTGGAAAAGTCTAAAAGTCTATCAGAGGTCGGCAATTCTTGAGGCTTGCCCGTCTTTCAAAGGGTGGTCTTAATGGGGTGATATCTGTGGACTCCATGTCTAGAATATTCTCTCCATCTATGTTGACCATGGATTGTCCACTGACTTCAAGTCGTCACCTTCATCTTCTCCATGCATCTCAGAGAACTAGCAGTGCTCTCAGGGCTCCCTGGGCTGTTAAGAGCCCTCTGGATTACCTGCCCCTTCATCTCTTAACTGTTCTATTATGCTACCCAGCTGGACTTGGTGAGGAAGGTCCCACAGAAAAAGACACTGTATGTCCCACTAGAGTGTAAGCAGGAGGGCGGGGTGTTTTGTTTGGTTGGTTCAGTGCTCTAAGCCTAGTGCCTAGAAGAGTGTCCAACACATGGTATGACTTGCAGAAGGAAGGGGATGAAGGTCAAACCTCGCCACTGAGATCTAGTAAAGATTTGTCCACATTCCCAGAATGTACTGCTAGCTGCATCAGGTAAAGGTGAGGGAGGTCCTTAATTCTACAAGCACCTTGCAGTTTAGTTGTGCGTCTGTAAAATGGGGTCATGATGCTAACTACGTGTGTGGGCTTTCCATGAGCATCAGGTGCCTTGGTATCTGCAAGGGATTTGGTGCCATGTTAGGCATAGGGTTGCTGCTCAAACACAAGGAATTTCTCTTCCCTTTGCTCTTTTTCAGCTTCGAGGATCCACAGTGATTCTGGCTTAATGAGGAGAAAAGGAGGGAAGGTGTCTGACCTTAGCTGAAGATAATGGGAAATATCTGGGGAGCTCATCCCTGCATCCTAGGAAGCTGGGCTTCCTTTCCTCACTCCTTTTCAAGCCTCTGCCCCACAGAACAGCAAACACATGCTCCAAAGCTAGGTTTCTGGCCAGAGGAAATAGAAGGCATCTAACCAAACAATAGCAGGTATCCATTAACCAAGAAGGACTGGGCAGAGGAGTGCAAGTTTCCTGGTTTAATGGCAACAGGAACTCCCAGACCCTTACCAAGGCCATGTCTTGCCTAGTGTCTATTCTTCAGGGCCACAGCCATCGTGACTGCCCGCTGGGAGATTTCTCAGAGGCGAATGGCTGTTCTTTCACCTTCCCCTACCCCAAGTTCTCTTTGTCTATCACTAGCTTCTTTCCATAATCCTTTCCTACGCTGGTCTGTTAACAAGGACTGTGTCAACTTGACTGGCATATCAGATGGCCTGGGAGCTTCGTGGGTCAGTAGGTATGGAGGCCCAGGAATCTGTGTTTATACACACAGCGATTCTGACACAGGAGGCCCAAGGACCTCTCGCTCGTTACTCAACCCCCCAGGGACACTGGCTCCACGCCACAGCCTTGGATCTTAACAGGGTGGAGGGCGAAGTGGATGGAAACCGTCCAGGGAGCTTTTGCAAAACTACATGTAGACACATAGACCCTGAAATTCTTTTCTGGCTCTCTAGGGCCTGAAGAGTCCAGGACAGGTGGAAAAATCCTGAGGCGACCGTGGTGTTTTGAATATGCCTCTCACGCTCTGTCTGCCTTGACCCACCAACCCTTTCATGTGCACACATCACTCCCTGTTTGTGACCCATTCTGTCGCATTCAGCCCAAATCTGTTTCTAGTAGGGACCCTGGAGTGCCTGTATCTAGCACTGAATCAACAGCAAGGTTCTGGCTCCTTCAGTTATCACAGCACACAGATGGGTATCTGAAATTCTCCAGCCCAGCATGATCTTTCACCCACCTTCTGAAGGCACTGATTTATTTTTTTCTTCCTTATGTAAAAGCCCGCAACTCACACGGGTAAGATGACAACAATCTATCAGCTATTGTTCGCTGGCCTCCTGCTTCACACCAAGCATCGTATCCGTTATTGTATGAGACACAAGCATTGTATTAGACATTTAATGATTGTCTCTAATCCTTAGAACGATCCTAATTATATACATTATATGTATTTATCTATAGTTATTAGATTTTCATATAACACAATAATCATATGCAGATATTTATTATATAAATAATCATAATTATTAGCTATGATTATGTGAAATAAATATACATATAATTATATAATATGTAATACAGATTTATTATATTTTATATTTTTTTAACTTTTTAAAAGTGTTTATTTTTTGAGAGAGAGAGAGAGTGCAAGCAAGGAGGAGCAGAGAGAGAGGGAGACACAGAATCGGAAACAGGCTCCAGGCTCCGAGCTGTCAGTACAGAGCCTGATGCGGGGCTGGAACCCATGAACTGCGAGATCCTGAAGCTGAGTCAAAGTCGGACACTTAACCGACTGAACCCCCCCCAGATGCCCCTAATTTATTATATTTCATATTATGTGTTATACAGTTGACCCTTGAACAACACGTTTGAACTGCCTGGGTCCACTTACAGGTGGATTTTTTTTTTTTTTGATAAGTAGAGTACAGTACTGTAAATCTATTTTCTCTTATGATTTTGTTCTCTAGCTTACTTGATTGCAAGAATAGAGTATATAATACATATAACATACAAAATAGGTGTTAACCGACCGTTTTGTTATCAGTGAGGCTTCCAGTCAACAGTAGGCTAGTAGTAGTTAAGTTTAGGACGTTTATTACGTCAAAAGCTTACTACGTGCATTTTCAACCGCACAGGGCATTGGCATCCCTCATCCCGATGTTGTCTGAGGATCAATTGTAATTCCATATTTTTTATATGTCTCTAAAATGTTGCCAATTTCTCAGACATGGGAATGGAGCCTCCTCATGGCTCATGGCCACTCCACTAAGAAAGGTTAAGATTGAGTTCAGGATCGGGTCCGTTGGTGTCACGTTTGCATCTTCCCTCTACTCGGAGGGGTAGGCATCTCCTACTTCTGCGGCACCATTTTCACCTCCTGGACGTTTTCCTCTCATTTCCTCGCCAGGGGTCCCCAGAGCCACTGTCAATGTGGCCCCTGGGTTTCCAACCCAACAATCCAGGTACTGCCCAAATCATTCTCTCCTCCTGGAGAAACCTCTGGCTAATGGTCTCATAAAGTCTGGTGGTATTGATCACTACCTTTTTATTTTTATCTTATTGAAGAGATGCTACTCTTTTCTGTCACCAAGACGATGATAGTGATAATCAGATTACACAGTCTATACTTTTTTATATTTGGAAAATTGTCTGATTTTTTCCTTGAAGACTTTGTGAGGTAGATAGAGGAGACGGTATTGTCCTCACTGTATAGACGAGAAAATTGAGGGCCAGAGGCAGTCATGTTTGTGCAGGTTTTCACCTTTAATGAACATTAGAGCCGGGACTTTTTTTCCTGTACTTGCCTGTACTTTTGTTTTTTCCAATTCCAAGTTCAGTAATCTTACCCCTTGCGTGGAGAGGCCTGGTCATACCCTCAAGATTCCAATTCCTTGTTTGTTTTGGGAGAGTGTTTTTCAGATTGTGGGTGTCAAGAACATTCAGTGAGTTGTAAACAGAATTATTTTTTTTTTATGTTGCAGAAAAATATATTAAAAATCCAAGTGCACCAC